AGCAGTTGTAAAGATAGTTTAAGTATTGTTTGTTTCATTGTATTGGATTGTAAAATGAATATTGTATGTTATAGAGTATAGCAGATGTAATGACAGTAACTCTACCATTTGTGGCCCATGAGATGGGAGAAGGATTTACTTTAATCAAAGACAGCTGGAAATTCTGGGAAAATCCTGTGCAATCATTTAATGGCATTGAAATGGCACTTCTAAAGTAAGTACACAACGATCATGATCAATTATCAAACTCTGGGTAATATTTTCAAAGTGTGTACCAAAACATTGTAATAGGGTTAAAAATGTCATAAACAATGGCAATTTAATCAATACCTATTAGTTATTTTAGAGTGCAAACAACTAAATTATCCATAGTCCTTTAGATTCTGAAACAGCCAATTATTATGAGGGGTTCTTCTCCAGTATTTTAAACATAAGTGGCAATGAGCATAAAGTCTATAATGAGGTGCAAGCAGCAATACTATGTGTCAAGGTCTTAGTTGCCTGAGTTTAAGAAAGTTGCACAAATAGAAGTAACATTTATTACCTCATAGAATAAACAATGATAGCACTGCTGGAAAATGTATTGTTGAATGAACAGAAAATATTAGAAGTGTCAGATAGTATTGAATATAATTATATATATTGACATGGAATATGTTGAATGATTTTGCTCTTTACTCAAATTGTATGAATTTTAGTTTACAAATGATTAAAAAAAATGTCTCTTCCTCATCTGTTTAAACAAAAAATAAATGTCATTAAAAACTGAAGAAAATAAGGTTTGTAATAATTTTCAGGTTTAAATTAGCTGTTGCAACATTTATTGAAGCCAAGAATAAAATAATGGATTCCTGTTTCTTTGCTAAAGGTATGATTGAGTTATAATTACTTCACACTGAACAAAATATTTACTTAAAAATGTTGTATTTTGCCTGTATAGGGTATTTAACTAAAAGAGCAGGTTGGACATTTTTGCCATTAAGATATATCTAGATATATATAAAGTAAGTATAAGTATGTCTAAACAAATGACAACTCTATGACAGATCGAGTAAGTATATATATAGTTAACTACTAAAGAGACACTTTAAAATCAGGAGTTTGAGGACAGACATCATTGCACAAAGGGGAAGATATGACAAAAAACATAGAAAAGAAAACTAACGATAGAGTACCACAAATTCTGCTAGAAAATGTAGTGAACACAGGTTCCCTGGATGGTCAACCATTAGTTTTCAATCATTGACACAGTGCCTATCATGTTTTTTATTTATCAAAAGGCATATTTCTTTTATGTAATCAAATTTTACATGACATATATTTCCAGGACAAACCCCATACTGGTTCCATCCAGGAGAAGAAATTAAAGGTATCCTAGATGACTTGAATGTTGTACTGAGAATGGCTCAAGATGAAATCCTTGATATATACCATAATCCATCAGCTGGTTCAAGTCTGTCACCAGATATTATAACTGATGGGTTTAATGTCAGTGTAAGTGTATTTTTTACCATGATAAGAAATTCTACCAAATTCATTGTTTCTAATTGCTAATTGGTATGCTGTTATTTTTTATAATTTTACATAATACATCCATAAATTGATAACATCTCTTCTCCCATCCATCCATCAGTCTGTGTGTCTTTCCACCTGTGTTTCCAATGAATAAATTTTTCATCACATTAAATACAGAGCATAACTTCCTGAAATTTATGTGAGCATGCTTTAATGTGTTATGCATTTCCACATCCATGGTTTTTCCCCTTCCTGTTTATCACTTATTTATAGCAGGGGTATCATAAGTAAGCAATAGCTCACAAATCATCCTGTTCACACAGATTTGAACATCTTGTAAAGCATAAGTTATCACCCTTTTCAGTTTTGTTTTATATGTTACTTTTACTCGAATAATGTTTGACAAAATCACTTTAGATTTTAAAACAAATGTTACAAATATAGAATACAGGTCATGTTCAATTTTAATTTTGGTTTTGGCATATTCCACTTAAAGGGCACGGCACTGTGATCACTAGATCACTAGATCAGCTAATTAAAAGTTTCATGTGGCACCCATACATTTTACATGTTTTAGTTTTTGTCGAGCCTGTGACTTTTCGTTGACCTCATTTTCATTGTTCAGTGACTACTTGATAAAAAAGTTAAGATTTTTTGTAATGTTAATTTTTCTCTTATTATGAGTAATAGGATATAGTTAAGTATGGAATGATTGTAAGGTGTACATGTCTAGCAGTCAGGTGTCATCTGACCTTGACCTCATTTTCATGGTTCAGTGGTCAAAGTTAGGTTTTTGAGTTTTGGTCTTTTTTTTTTCTAATACTACAAAATGTATATGCAATTGGTCAACTATATTTGGTGTATGGAAATATTTTATGATGTACATGTCAGTCTCGCAGGTTTTATTTGACCTCATTTTCACGGTTAATTGCTCAGTGTTAAGTTTTGTGTTTTGGTCTGTTTTTCCTAAACTATAAGCAATAGGTCAAATATATTTGTTGTATTGAAGAATTGTAAGCTGTACATATCTGCCTGGCATGGTTAATCTGACCTTGACCTCATTTTCATGGTTCATTGGTCAATGTTCAGTTTTCTTGGTTAAGTCTGTTTCTTAGAAACTATAAACAATAGGTGAACTATATTTAGTGTATTGAATGATTGTAAGGTGTACATGTATTTCTTGTTTGGTTTATATGAACTTGACCTCATCTTCTTGGATCATGTTAAGTTTATGTAATAGTTGTAGTAAAGCTTTCTATTTAGGACTATCAACATAATATCAATGATTAGTAAAGAAGGCGAGACATTTCAGCGTGTGCACTCTTGTTTCAGTAATTTTTTACTTTATTTTTTATATGCTACATGTATGGATTCCTTTATTTTTATGTGTACCAATTTCAGGATTTACTGAGCAAAAATTGTATTTTCATGGTTATTTGAAAAATCTGCCAATAAACCTATAGAAAATGTGTACATGTTCATTTCACTTAAGCTTATACACATGACATCTACAAATACTGGTATTCCAAATATAAAGATTAATCTATGGTTTTGAAGAATTATGTTCACTTTATACAATTGATATTGTGTTCACTGTTTCATAAGTGAGAGCCACAAGCTGGACAGTTCCAAATATTATCATTTTTGAAAAAAATACCGTAATGTATATAGCTGTAGCTTATTTTGTACACTGATGTTTTGAGTAAACCTCAGAGTAAAACACATAATATATTCCATGTAATGGGATGATATGTTTTTATTTCATCTACTACTTCAATGCTTGCAACATTTTCATTACATCTTTTCAAAGGGAAATAACTCACTAGTTATAATATTGTATTGTACATTTTCAGGGATCCAAGAGCTTCATTCACGAGACTATCAAAGGAGTTGTAGAAGAAGTTAATTCCACTTTATCTGGTGTAATCAACATAGCTAAACCATTCTGGGAAAAGATCTCTCATCTCATGGACATGTTCAAGAAAATAAAACATGCATATACATTTCTACGGGATGTGTAAGTAAAAGTTCTGTTTAGGTAGCTTTGTAAAAGGCCTATACTGTTGGTATGACAAATATTATAGATAGGCATTCTGTTTTAGTTCTTTGTTGTTGAGTTTGACTCTTCTTCTTGATGTTTCTGTATGAGTTTGAAGCTTGTATATGTTGTGTACAAGTTATCATCTTTTACAAAAAAAATGTACAAATTATAATTTGTATTTTGACTTTGTACAAATTGTAATTTTTACAAAAAGTGCTTGTACAAATTACAATTTGTACAAAATTTGACTAAAATTCACTGATAACTTGTACAATATTTTATTGAATGGATTTTGTTATAACAAAATCAAAAAAAATGCGACCTGTTGTTCACTGGTTGTCGTTAGTTGATGTTGTTCATTAGTGTTTCATGTTTTTCGTTTTTCATATATATTCGACCATTGGTTTTCCTGATTGAATTGTAGCTTGCTGTTCATGTTAAAGGCCATACTTTGACCTATAAATATTTACTTTTTAAACATTGTAACTTAGATGGAGAGTTGTCTCATTTGCACTCTTACCGCATCTTTTTATTTCTATTATCATACATCGTTAAGTTAAACATTTATATGAGAGTTTACACTTTTAAATGCAGAATTCATAAAGGAAAGTACTACATGCAGAAGCTATTTGGGTCAAAGTTTCATCGTAAATTTCCCAGAATTCCTGCGTCCTGTGAGTCAAGTTGTGGATGTGGGGAGTATCACCGAGATAACAAAGGAAGATTTGGTGTAGAACTAGCTTTCAAAAAAAATTATCAGGTATGTTAAAAATATTACAATTAAAACATCATAATATATTTAGATGTGCACACAAATGTTTTAGATGTTAAAAAATGTGAAGTGTCAAGCTTAGAAATTTCTGTATAAAGTGTATAAATATCTGTTAACTTAATACAGTTGTAAATAACAATAAAGATTAAGTCAAGTTTATATACATTTTTTAGACATGTACATCTTTCCAGTGTTAGTTTTGTGGATGTTATATATTCTATAGAAAAAGTATTCAAGTTATATTTAAACTGCTTTTATATCTTTCAATTTAACAAAAAAAATATTTTTATATAATAGAAAGTTGTAAGTCCATTCCATGGTACAGTCTATAGAATAAGTGACTCAGAAGTATTAGTACGACCAACTAGAGCGGATCTAATTATGTATGAAGTAGTGGTCAGTGGCTTTGAACTGGACACCAGAATTGATGAAGATAAAAAAGGAATTTTCAAAAAGGCTGGTAAGCAGATTGGAGTGTCCAAAAAATTGTCTGATTGTGAAGATAACTTCTTGTTTGTATCAATGAGGAAAAGACCAAACAATACTGAATCTATATCAGGTTTACCAGCTAGTAGTTACTCATATATTGATCCAGCTCCTTATCTGAAGAAGAGATTCCCAAGGCCTGGTCACAAGTCAACATGTAATGGTTTCTCCTATTATTACATCGGTATGAATGCAGAGGAAGGGGACATGACTGGAGAGCCTGAAGACGACAAAGATGAGATCGATCGTCATGACGACGGAAGTAAATCTCAGTCACCATTTGGCGGCCATCGTCATGGAAGATCTGTGGAGAACCAACCAGAGCATCCTGTGTGGATGCAACATTTTAAGGAGAAGTTTCACAATATGACTGGAAAGTTTGATAAATACAAGAATATATTGTCTAAAGCAGCTAAGTAAGTTTGAAACTCATATCATTTTTGAAAAAAAAAAAACATTAAAACATTTAATCAATTTTTGTCTTTGAAACAATAAATAGGGAATTCTTAGGTTTTGATTTATAAAAACAAATTATTATTTAAGAATTTTTTTTTCACTTTTGTTATGTGAGATTCAATGAGGTTTATTAGGGCCCCTCTGAATGGCAGACCCCCTATAGTGATCAGTCTGTCAGTCCGTCTGTCTGTCCGTAACAAATGTGTCCACTCTATATCTAGAAAACTATTATGATTTCAAAGTTTATACATGACATGTATATTAACCAACACCAGAGGGTGTGTCATAATGTATGTACAACTTCCTAGGTCAAAGGTCAAGGTAAAAAACTTTAGATGACAACCCCTTGTCCTATGGTAAAGATACAAATTTGATACCAATTCAGAGCGGGGCCCACAGAGATGGCTCCCATCTCAATGATATCTAGTTTCTTTACTTCTGTATCTGTACTAGCATGAAATGGTATGGATATTAAAATTATAAAATGACACCTGCGAAAGGATCTGACATAGAGATTAGGATGTGTTTTCAGATTACTTTTTTCAAGGCAAAATTTAAAATTTTTAAGTTCAAAATTTTTAAACTTCACCATCTGTCAATCTCAAAATTGCCCCACGCAAACACAGTATATAGTTTAACTGGATGTAAAATTTATTACCTCAAAAGGAGATTAGATAAATATTGTCAAATGTTTTAAACTATTGGATCTTAGATAACCTAGTATTTTATTTCAGGTCATTCCTGCCTCAATTTGATATTAATGACAAGCCCCTGACAGAACTTAAGCATTTGTTAGCTGGTTCACCATTGATACAGCAGTTAGATGACATTGTTAAAGAAGTAGCACAGAAACTAAGAACAGAACCATTGATGTATCCTGATGGGATGCCATTACATCAAATCAGACGTAAACTAAAGAAAGCTCATACTACAGTGACAGGAGATAGACTTTCTATGATTGACAAGTTACTGGAAATGGCTGTGCATGGTTTGTAATTTAAAATGAAAATTGTGGAAGGCTTGTTAACATGTCTCTTGTAGATAGTTGTCTTATTGGTGATCCTTATTCTGAACATTTGAAAATAATTGTGGATATGCATTTCTTTCTCAATTTAACAGTTTTTGGCTTGTTTAATTTTCATTAACTTTTGACAAAATATTTACTTTGACCCTTTTACACAAATGTAAAAAATTTCAAAAAACCACACACCTTATTGGAAAAATTTGATTGGATAAAGAGCAGTTTGACAAACACAAATTTTGATCATTGAGAAGGAAGCTTAATATTTCCTTGACAATATGAATGAATGAATACTTTATTGCAAAACACATATATATGCTATAGCAACGAAAACATATTTACAATTTGACAAATGACAAACAGCAGAGATCAATACAAATAAATCATTATAAGAAAACAAATAACATTAAGTAACAATATGTGATCTGATTGACCACACAGATTTTATGTAATTACACAATTTTTTAATATGTAAAACAGACATTAATTTAGATAAATACTGTAATTTAGTAATGTTTGGCCAAGAACAATAGAATTTTGGCAAATATTTCGGCGTCGACGGCAGCGGCAGGGTCAACAATAATTTTGTTTGTGATTAGGTCTAGTTTATGGTGAACCACTAGTAATAAGTCAAAGATATTTCGTCTGCAGTTGTATTAGTATTGGCACATCTCATTACCATGGAGATTATTTGGCCACACCCCCTCAGTTAGGGTCTATTGACTTTGAAAATATTGCTTAGTTTTCATGTATTAGTTTGTGTTTGGTCAGTTTATGGAGAACCGCTAGTGGTAATTTAATGATAATTGGTATGCAGTTGTATAAGCATTGGCATATCTCATTTCCATGGAGATTATTGGATTCTGCCCCCTCTGTCATGGTCTATTGACTTTGAAAATTTTTGCTTAGTTTTCATGTATTAGTTTGTGATAAGGTCAGTTTATGGGGAACCACTAGTGGTAAGTTAATGATAATTGGTATGCAGTTGTATAAGCATTGGCATATCTCATTTCCATGGAGATTATTTGGCCCTGCCCCCTCAGTCATGGTCTATTGACTTTGAAACTTGATTAGTTTTCATGTATTAGTTTGTGATTAAGTCAATTTATGGGGAACCACTATTGGTTGTTCAATGATATTTGGTATGCAGTTGTATTAGCATTGGCACATCTCATTACCATGGAAATTTTTTTACCCCGCCCCCTCAGTTATGGTTTATTGACTTTGACATTTTGCTTAGTTTACATGTATTTGTTTGTGTTTAGGTTTGTTTAAAGGGAACTACTTGTGATAAGTCAATGGTATTTGGTATGCAGTTGTATTAGCATTGGCACATCTCATTTCCATGGAGATTGTTTAGCCATGTACTTTCAAACATGAATATTTGCAAAACTTACATGTTAAAGTGTTGCTATATTAATTTCAACATTTGCATTATCGAAATTACCAAAAAGTGAGACATATCTCTGTGATAACAGTTTATTTCAGAGATATCTCCCTGTTGTGTTATGTACCACCTTTAAAAAATTATATTGGCCCAAAACAAAATGAATGTTCATTCTTTCATAATAAAGGGATACAACTCTAGCCCCAAAACAGGGGAGACAATTTAAGTTGATAAACTATATGTATAAATCTACTTGAAATGAAAATTTGCAAAATTTGACTGTTTCCAAATTTATGTGATCTCAAATTTGCTATTGAGCAGGTTTTGGAAATACGTATTAATAAAATAAAACATATCCCTATTTTTTCCAGAATGTGGAAGTTTTGAAAAGGCCATAATAGCAGGGTATGGCCATTACTGTGAAGCCCATGAAGATTGCCATGGTATTACGTGTGGAATGGTCTTCAGGGATGGATTTGAAAGGGCTTTGGTCAAGGTGGACGTTAGACTCGACAGCTGTTCTAATCAGATTCATGTCACCATAAAGGATCAAATGACAAACTTTACACTAACTTGTAAGTGGAAAACAATTATTAAATATCCTTTGAAACAAATCTTTTAATAGAAATAAGATGATGTGGTATGAGAAAAGTTCACAACTCTCCATCCAAGTCACAATGTGTAAAAAGTAATCAGTTGGATGGCCTTTGACATGGAGCCTTGGCTTTGCCTTTTACCCAACAGCTAGCTATAAAGGGCCCCAAAATGACGTGTAAAACAAAAAAGGGCCCAAAATAAGCATTTTTCTAGTTTCCAGACAATTACTTGTGGAATTGTGTATGGATCTCTCTGTAATTATATCACAAGTTTTCATACCACAAAGGGATAGTAAGAATTGGCTTTGGAGGGTAATGGCTCAAATCGTTTAGGAATTAGGGGTAAAAAAGGGAGAAAAACAAGGGTGTCCTGGTTAATGGACAATAAACATTATTTAAAAGAAGTGTAAGGGAGGTAATTCAAACACAACATTTTGAATTACCTCCCTTACACTGCAGTTAAATTATGTACACAGAAATGTTGTATTGTCTCCAGGTGATTAGATGTCAATTTATTTTTGAAGTTACTATTTTAAAAATGCTGATAAATGGTAATTTAATTTTAGCCATGATTATGTAGGTCATTTTCTATTTTAAGACTTTTATGATGTATTTAAATTGGTTATTATGGTTGCAAACTCCAAATGGAAATTTGAATTAAGAAATAATTCTTTCATGCCATGCTCTATGCTCATTTTAACATGGGTAGGCATTATATTTGTCAATATCTTAATACTGAGCGTTAGCGAGGTATTAAATGTTGACAAATATAATGGCTACCCATGTTAAAATGAGCATAGACCATGGCATGAAAGAATTATTTCGATTCTAATAGGAATAATTTGAACTTTTGTTCTTTGAAGCAGACCTATAATACACGCTCGAAAGGTCGCCATTTTGATTTGAAGAACCAAAAACGTTATAGAAAATCGACAGTTTAACACTAAAAAAAGAACAGGCACATTTAAACTTACTTTTGTAATGTTTTTATTTAATTTCCTAGCGAGCCACACCAACAAAAATGTCCATTTTGATCTCTAACGTTACATTTTCAATTGTGATGTCAATCACGTGCAGCCCATATTTTATTGGAATTAGAACGTTGCCTTGTATCCAAAGCTAAAGAAGAACGTCATATTAGAATTGAGATTATGACCATATCTTGAGGGAAAGAAATTTTTTTGGAAAAGGGGTGGGGGGGGGGGGGGTGGAGGTTAAAAAAAAATTGGGGAGGTGGGGACAATTAATTCTCAAGATTTCAGAAATTGAAAAGGAAATTTCTTCAAAAATGTTTTTTTTTTTTGCAAAAAAAAAAAGGGGGGGTGGTCAATTTGCAACAGCATAGTGTATTGCACAAAAGCAAAAAAAAGAAAAATTCAAAACACATAACCAATTCAATTTCTTTGACTACAGTTATTCTGTGTTAGAAACCTATTATGTGTCAAATATTTAATTACAATCCAAATTCAGACCTGTATCAAGTGTGAATATTGTGTCCATTTTGCCCCAACTGTTCAGGGTTGGACCTATGCGGTCGTATCCAGCTGCGCTCGGCAAAGCAATTTATTACAAATAAAACCCTTCAAAAGACAAAACTGGTGTTCAACAAATATATTTAATTGTAGTGTAAGGTATAATGGTGATTATATATAGACCTAATTGAATATCAATTATCAAGATGAAACAGCTTGCTTCAGGTGGTGCCTTAACCAAACTTCAACATCAGCAGTTTTGATTCAATAATAACCATTATGATAATTTGCAATACAATTGAATAAAATCTATTGGGTAATTAAAGATCATGTAGTGTGAATAAATTAAGATTGTCTGCATATCATCTAAAATCATTAGAGAAACAAATTCCACCACCATATCTCATGCAATACTATATTTATCCACTCTCTACAGTTAAATTTAAAATATTTAAAAACGCTCTGCGAGCCTCGTGTTTTAAATTTGAAAAGTTAACTGTCTCAAGTTGATAAATATCGTATCACACTCAATACAGTGGTAGAATCTATGTATAATGAATCTAAAATAGAAATGACCATTTACGATAAAATTGATAAACAATTGTTAAGTGACTATTAATTTATTATGTAATAAATGTATAGCATGTTTCTCTCTTATATCTCTAAGCCAATGCCAATGAAAAACAAATAAAAAAAGATCATCATCAGCAATCAACAATGTAAAACAAAAGAAAAAAATTTCTTTTCAATAATTCCTTAAAATAGACAGACTTTAACTGATGCCATTCAGAAGGAAGATTGAAGAAAAAGCACACAAAAAAGACAGGTTTTTACATCATATGGTTAAATTTAGGATGAAAAATATGTCGATAAAAAACCTCCTGATCTGAAACTCCTTACCAAAATTTCCAAATCTCCTGATCTGAATTTTAGTCCATCACATGTATGGACTAATGAGATGTTGATACAGGTCAATGACAAAGAAAACCAACCCCAAATTACAAAAAGAATATCTGTAGGTCCAGAGGTTGCTTTGCAATAAAATAAGAAAAGAAGACCAGTTCTAATGCAAAATGAAAAGCCAATTAGACCAAGAAAAACTAAAAAAAAACCAACTAACTAACTGAATAAAGCCCAGCATATTATCCTTTAGTTCCATCAAATAGGAATTCTTAAAATTTTCTCTGATATGAAGTTTGTCTTCAACATTTAATTGTTTTATTTACAGCACAGAAACAGATCATGGTAGTTGATTTATCTAAGACAGAGGACAGAGAGTTAGTGTTTGATATTAGAATTGACTCGTCAAATGACACAGTAAATGTTACATTATCTGGAGCAGTGTGTTCAACAACTCATTACTCATGCTTTGAAGATGTAGAACTTCTGAGAGATTTACCTATTGATACTAATAATACTGTGTGTTACAACAGTAAGTAAAAAACCCATACAGTATAGTCACTATAATAAAAAAAAAAATGAAACATTCAAACGACAAAACTAGTGGCCTGATTTATGAACAAAACAATAAGCAAAAACCAAATATGACAGTCAGGAACAAACAAAAACCACTGAACTACAGGCTCCTAACTTGGGACATGCACATGAAGATATGTGACGGGATAAACATATTTGTGAATGCACAACCCTCCCCTAACTGAGACTGTGGTGTAGCAGCACAACATTAGAAAACTGTAAATATCAGTTGTAATGAACTTTACTCAAAAGATCAGTAGCTCAGGCACAAAAACATCTTAAGTAAAGAAATGGTATGATTGCCAATGAGACAACACTCCATCAGACCAAATGACAGACAAATGAACAACTATATATATGTATGGCTTTCAACAATGAGTAAAACTCCTACCTTATAGTCAGCTGTAAAAGGCACTGAAATGACAAATGTAAAACAATTCAAAGAAGAAAACTAACAGCCTGATTTATTTACAAATTAATGAACAAAAACAAATACTGTGTATTTTTTTATTTTTGTGGATACCAATTTTGTGGATGAAGGAAAACTGGCATGTTCATGGATATTTAGTTTCGTGGTTTTACCAAAGTCTGCATACAAGCCTATACAAAAGTTGTCATTTGTTGAACATTTAATTTTGTGGTTCACCCTTACCCACATTATCCAAGAAAATTGGTATCCAACGAATAATAATGAATCCACAGTATTATATACAGTAACAAACGACAACCACTGAATTACAGGCTGTGTTATATTCAGACCATCATAATCAAAATTGGAAGATATTAAAAAAAAATGATCTTTTCTTGTTAACTTTATCTTCCAAATGAATTTTTTTTTTTAAATTATTCACTTTTACTTTTTACCTCAGAACAAGCACGAGATCCATTTGAAGACAGAGTTTATTCCTTGACCTTACCTGACCTTCTTGAAGAAGTATCTGAGTTTGGTTTGGATATGACAAAGTGTCTAATTCTTATTAATGAGATTAGAAATGCCACTTTGTATGCAGTGAGTATTTTACATATCTTTTTATACTAAAACTACAGTATGTAGTGACTTGGGAGACAGTCTATCCATCTGATTGTCCTTTTGCCAGTTTGTTTGTATTCTCCACTGTTGTATTCAAAACTGCTCCTCTTAAAACACTTGACAGAATTGTGTATCACAGATTCGTAACCATACTTTTGCAGTTTATATTTCATTTCTTCACGTAAATTAGTTTATTTTTGGATATCATGAACTTAGTCATATCTGTTTACTATGGAAGTTCTCCTTAACACCTTATTACAATTTATTGAAATTTTCTAAACCATATGATGTATTTGGGCACTCTTATTTTGTTTTTTATCAGAATGATCTTGGGGGATTTCCTTACTAAAGCATGGACTTGTATAAAATATTTGAACAAAAGAAAACTATTAATCTATATTGTACTTTAGTTGATGGAATTGAGAGAGAAAGGTGACCATGGGGAAGGTGAATTTCCAGAGAAAGAAGATTTTTGTTTTGAGGGAAGTTTCCCATTGGCTGACTTAGATATGCAGATTATTAACCCTGGACCTGTGCCAACATATCCTAGTCCTCCTCCTGGTATCACATTCTTATTCTTTGTAGGACCAATACCATTACATTTAGGTAATTATGAAATGGGTCATAGCTACTGGTATTATTTTATTACTTTTGTTCACAGAAATGAAAAAAAGTGTTATTAAAAAGGGAGCTATTGGTGAATATTGGAGTCAACTGGGGAGAGAGCATGGCTATTTGCATGGCACTTTGATTTTATAATATGCATGGAAACTTAATCTTTTAATTTGCATGGAACTTTAACCTTACAATTTGCATGGAACTTTAACTTTATAATTAGCATGGAACTTTAATCTTATAATTTGCATGGAACTTTAACCCTATAATTTGCATGGAACTTTAACTTTACACTTCCATGGTTATATTGTATATCGAAACAAATATTGACAGTAAAAATGCAGAATGCAAATGACTAATCTTAAATGGCTTTAATGCTTTCAGACAAATATAATTAGAAAGCAAAACATATGGAGTAATACCATATCAGGCCATCGAAAGCTTAGGCGCTGGACACAGAGTAGGCAGTGTTGTCACGATATCCCAATAGCATGAGTTTGAATCCCAGCAAGGGAAGAACAAAATTTTGCTTCTGCAACTTTGCAGGTTTAACATTGTTGTGCTGATATTTATTATAGTTATGAATGTAATATGTGTTTTCAGGCATATAATACCTTCACTGATGATCAAATGGGTGGATCTGTTGCAGAGGATTCACTTGTTAAGAAGTACTTTTCAAAATAATTATTTCTGCAACTGCATCTTATGATCCTTTATGATAGATAATTTAGCAAATCTGCAATCAATTCCATCTTCATGTCTAATATATCATGTACTATGTTACAACTCTAGATTCTACTGATGAGGAAAGGTAACACTAGGCCACCAAAAGGTGAATTTTTAGTTCGGTCTTGTCTAGAGCGCTGGACATAGGGCAGGCTGTGTTTTCATGATATCCATAAGCATGAGTTAGAATCCCGGTGAGGGAAGAATAATGTTGTGCTGATATTTATAGTAGTTATAGTAGAGAGTAAAATAGATGCAGGGATGAGACAGTAATGAAACAGCAACAGAATAACCAAAAAACATAAGACGCAAAGTGCTTTAAACTGCAACCATTATTATTATCTATTTTTCAGCCTTTGGAGCGACAGCTAGAATGGGAATTGATTTAAAACTAGAGATGTGTATTATGAGTATGAAAGCTAAAGTAAGTTATTATACGCTCTTCAAAGAAAGCTTGGGGGGGATATATAGGAATCTCATTGTCCTCGACACATGAAGTTGTAAAATATTGCAGATTCAGATATTTTTTGTGATGTATTTGTTTATTTAAATATTAATTGACATGGGATAGGTTTTTCAAAAATAATATCTTGCAATTTAAATTTTGAAAACATTATTTGTATGCTGAAATCCTCAAAACCATAAAAATAAATGCATGTAAAAATTCTTAATTTACAGTAATTCTTTTGTTCCAGGCATACTATTATTCGTATTTTACAATAACTGGAATAGATTACCTTAGCCGTATTTGGCACAACTTTTTGGAATTTGGGGTCCTCAATGTTCTTCAACTTTGTACTTGTTTGGCTTTATAACTATTTGGATCTGAGCGTCACTGATGAGTCTTATGTAGATGAAACGCACGTCTGGCGTATTAAATTATAATCCTGGTACCTTTGATAACTATTTAAGTGGGTTCAGGTGTAATACCACCATTGATTTCCCCCAATTAGTCTTTGTTAAATTTGCACTTTTCAAATAATTGTGCAGAATTTATCTTTGTTTCAAATAAAGAAATACTTGGCATGAGTCGAGTTTTATCCTGTCCAGTACTATAGAAAAAATTTCACATAACATTTCATTGCATATTTAAGGAATGACTGTAATATTTTTTCTGTCTATGAAGAAATAACATAAAAAATGTGGTGCACACTGAATAACCCGCGTAGCGGGTTATTTTAAAGTGTGCACCACATTTTTGATGTTATTTCGAATAGACAGAAAAAATATTACAGTCATTTCTTATAATTTAATTCTAAATTCCATTTTAAACCGGAATAAACCACGAAAAAACGTTGATGACGTCACGGTCACATGACAAAATTATGTCAATGAGCTGATAAACAAAACAACGTCAGCCAAACAGAAGACGCGTTACATCCAAAATTAAATTATAAGACAATAACCATCACTGGAAGTTAACCAATCAAATTTCCCCCCTTATTTAACCTGTGTACAAGCTTTAGTAACCATGTAACCTCAAGTTTCCAAAATATTCTATAGAAACCCCAAATAAAAAAAATAATGGTGCTTTGAAATACCCAAGATATATGTTTATGACCCAGAAATGTTTTACTGCAATAAAATGTAGGATTAATTACCTACAACTGTCAAATTCAAGGGAATATTTTTTTTCAACCTATTTTCGTATGCAACTGGATATGACGTACCATGATTTGGTGGTATTACACCTTCAGAACACATAAGAACTTAAAATTCAGCTGAACGTTTTAATCATGAACTGTCAGTAAGGAGAAATCAAGCTTTTCAACGATCAAAATTAGTATTTGTCAAACTGCTATATATATCCAACCAAATTATTCAGATTTTATTCCTGTAAATTGTTGGGTTCAAAGGAGTAGGTCCGGTAAGGGCCGATTTTGGCCTCAAATTTCAGGTTCATATGATAAAATATTTTGGACACTTTTTAAACACTCAAGTGTCTACTTTAGTAGATTCCATTAGTTTATCTGAAAGATTTGGACCGATTTAGTCATTAAAGACGCTCAAATGCAGGTTTAAATATTAAAAATCTATCAATTATGCCATAATATGTCACTTTTCCAATGGATTTTGTCAAAAATGAAAGTGGCCGCATTCGTGTTCATCCTCGACCTTTATATATGATATGTATTATCATCAAATACAACTTATATTTAAATATTAAGAATGAACACGAATGCGGCCACTTCCATTTAAGACGAAAACCGTCTAAAAATTAACTCAAATGCTCAAATTGTGAAGATTTCAGTAATTTAGCATGACTTAATGATGCTAGTACCCGATACATGTGCATTGTATTGTCAAAAACAGCCCATATTTATGTAACAGAAGTATTCTTCTTTCCAATAAATAGCTAAAAGTTTACATTTTAACAATTTTGTAAAACTGCTATATTTTGGGGCCAAAAAGGGGTCTTACTGGAACTACTCCTTTCTAGAAATTTTCATATTTTTGTCAACAGGTCAGAGTAAATATTTTGTAAAATTTTAATGAAAACTAAACGAGCCAAATCTATTTTAGCCAAAGTGTTGGGTACCCCCTCAATCACCAAGAATCATTTTAGCTTTGTAATTTAACCCAAGTAAAAAAAGATCCCCTTTGACCACTTTATTTCTGAAACAGGAAATATTCTGACCATTTTATTTCGGGAAAAAGAAATATACTGACCACTTTATTTCTGGAGCAGAAAATATTCTGACCACTTAATTTCAGAGAAAGGAAATATTATAATAATTTTATTTCTAAGAAAAGGAAATATTTTGACGACATTTTTCGAAAAAAAAAAAAGAAATATTCTGACCACTTGATTTCAGGAAAAGGAAATATTCTGACCATTTTATTCTGGAAACTAGAAATTTCTGAAAACAGGAAATATTCTGACCATCATATTTCTGAAACAGGAAATATTTTGACCATCATATTTCTGAAACAGGAAATATTCTGACCATTTTATTTCCGAAACAGGAAATATTCTAACTATTTCATTTCGGCTACAGGACATATTCTGACTTCATGACAAAATATTCTGACTGTTTTATTTTTGGACCAAGAAATATTCTGACTATTTTACTTTGGGTACAGGAAATATTCTGTTTTTTTTATTTTGGATACAAGAAATAATCTGACCACTTAATTTCCAGAACAGGAAATACTATGCCATATTTGTAATATTTTCCAGTAGTTGGTGAAATCATATAAAAAGTTTTTCTTTTATTATTCTTTTATTACAGGCTGTTGTAACACCTCATATAGGTGCTGGTGTGTGGGGAGAACTTGCTGTAGATATTGGATTTGCCTATGGTGGAATCAGACTGGAGGGGCACCTGTTAGAAACTAGATTTCCAATCACTGCAGAGTTTAAATTTAACAAATTCCCAATAAAAATAGGGTATGTTGGAAAACAGAATACTTTTAATATTTAAAATTCAATCAAAATGTATTAATTAGTACCGTCTAATCATCAAAGGTTTTATTTATTTTGTAACAATATATACTGCTTATAGCTTTTATTTCAAGTGTTAAATACACAAATATTTTTTATGATAAAAACGAACTTCTAAAATTGTATGACAGATTATGGTTTTGGCTCCAATTTCACATTTCATGGAACATTGTAAATGATAGTGCAAGTAAGCACCTTGTCCTATGGACACAAATTCTTGTGTAAAATTATTAAGCTCTAAGACTTCACTGAAAACACATGCATATTGAATTACCTGAGAAATATACATATCATTAAAATAAGTAAAATATGGAAATCTAGTCAAAGAATTATTTGATTTTTCAATTTATCCTTGTCTCATGGGTTTTCATACTTTGATGCATTGTGGCGTCACAATTTCCTCTGAAAAAGCATGCATAGTATGAATTCATATGAAGTATGAAAACATTATCTGACAATATACCTGTGAATTTATGTATGTTATATTTCAATAAGCATGATAAGGGTCATTGGCTGTAAAAAAGAATGCTTTATACTTAAGGAGGTTCGCTACTCAGTTTCAAATTAACAAGCTTTTCATAAAACTAGTATAGATTGATAGGGGATTATTAAAGGAACCAAAAGAGCAAAAAAAAATATAGGTCAATGTGCTTGTTTTTCGAGATATTAGCCATTGAAATTTTGGCGGGAAAATGTTCTCTCTTGATTTTTCATAGCTTTTTCATTGACAAGTTTAAGGATGTACACCTCTGAGGAGCCAAAAATTTCTAGAATTAAATTTATTTTCTTAACCTGATTTTTAGGTTTATATGACTGTAAATAAATAATTGGTGAAGAAAAAATCATATGGTGGTGCACTTCTTTTTTTGCTATGGCCCTTTGAAAGTACCCAATTTTTGGTGATTTTCCCATTTTTGTCGAGCCTTCGACTTTTGTCGAAAAAGCGAGACATAGCGATCCTACATTCCGTCATCGTCGTTGTCGTTGGCGGCGGCGTCCACAAATAAAGTTTTTGAAATTTTAATAACTTTCTTAAACTATCCTGGATTTCTACCAAACTTGGACAGAAGCTTGTTTAGATCATAAGATAATATTCAAAAGTAAATTTTGTAAAAAAAAATTTCCATTTTTACCATATTTTACTTATAAATGGACTTAGTTTTTCTGCCAGGAAACATTACATTCACTCTGTGGTTAAAGTTTTTGATATTTTAATAACTTTCTTAAACTATCCTGGATTTCTACCAAACTTGGAAAGAAGCTTGTTTATGATCATAAGATAGTATCCAGAAGTAAATTTTGGAAAAAAAAATTCCATTTTTTCCGTATTTTACTTATAAATTGACTTAGTTTTTCTGCCAGTTAACATTACATTCACTCTGTGGTTAAAGTTTTTAAAATTTTAACAACTTTCTTAAACTATCCTGGATTTGTACCAAACTTGGACAGAAGCTTGTTTATTATTAAAAGCTAGTATCTAGAAGGAAATTTTGGAGAAAAAAAAATTCCATTTTTTCCATATTTTTCTTATAAATGGACTTAGTTTTTCTTCCAGTTATAATTACATACAGTCTGCAGTTTAAGTTTTTAAAACATTTATTAGATTCATAAACTATCCTGGATTTTTACCAAACTTGGACAGAAGCTACTTACAATCAAAAGATAGTATAGAGAGGAATATTTTTATTAATTTTTTTCCTCATTTTTGTTGAGCCTGCGGTTAACAGCAAAAGTAGGCGAGATACTGGGTTCCGCTGAACCCTTACGAATTTTTCATCAATTTTTACCCTTTTTTGGGCTATTGTCGTGAAAAAAATCACAGTTCCACAATTAAACTTTTTTTCATACTTTCCATAAAGATGAAAAGGAACAATTTGAATAAATTTAACTGAAAAAAGTATAGGTAGGTGTTGATATTAGAAAGTTTTATGATATTTTGATGCTTTTTCGTGCCAAATTTACCATGCTGTCAATTTTGTAAATTTGTGATTTTTCTCTGTTTTAAGAACAAAATGCATATTATTTCAACTATTTTGTTATAAATGATTGAAAAAATATATATCTAAGTAATTTGAAAAGAAAAAAGTGATATGGGATGTTTATGTTTCTTGTAAAATTATTTCTTGTATCCCTCACCTATTTTCTCAAAATTTGGATAAAAAGACTGACTTGATTGGTAAAAAATTTTGAAAAATTTATTACTCAAAAACTGCTTATTGTAAATACACAATTTTTTCACAGAGTTAAGTTTGATTGTAGCATTTCTTAAATTCATTGATATTTTCCACTTGTATCACACATTTTGGAAATAATTCCAGAATGAGATTTCAACGAGACTGAAACGTCAGAAGAATACATCCTTAAGTTCTCAAAAACTATTAAAAAATAACAAAGATTTTATAAGGCTTTTACAGATGGCTTATAATTATACATGCAAAAGATTTATAAAAAGAAAAATGGGGGTCTATGGGCAAATTTTTTTTAAGGCATTCAAATGGATAAAACTAGAGGATTCCGAAAATCTGACAAAAATTCCAAAACATGACAAGCGAACATCCTTAAGCTACAGAGAAATTCATGCTCATACTTGTATTACAAGTTCTTTTTAACTTGATCTGATATTTTCTTTATTTCAGGTTCCGTCTTGATCTAGAAATTGTACCACTTGAGCTGAAACTTAAAGCATTTGCTAAGTTACGACTAATATTTTTTTCTGTAACTGTATTTGATGCTTGTATTTGGAAGTTCAAGCTGCCAACTTATAGAAAAAACCTCTTCGACAAACCATTTGAGAAAAGAGATCCAAACAAACCAAGGATATCAGCTGCAGCAACCAATCCTCGTCAGAGAAGGTCAAGTCCTGGTGGATGTGAGGTCAAACAGCTGGAAGGTCGTGACGTAACAGACACAGCCTTTCTTTTAGAAGTGTCTGCTAAGTCTGATGTCAGTGACATTACATTATCTTATGTTATAGGAACACACAGATCTGGTACAAATGTCCAAGACTGGACAGGGATGACTGGAAACTCTCTGACTGCCCCAGTCCAACTACATAAGGAACATTACGGAATACCTCTATACTGGACTGTCAAAGCTAAGAATAGCCAAGGTGATTCCAGTATAACTGAGTGTAATCTTAAAACATTTGATAACACTGTACCTGATGGTAGAATAGATGAATCATATCCCTATACAAGTCATACCAAGAAGATCAGTGGTAATGTTGTTGTTTTTGATGATTCTGAGTTAGTGAACACTCATTCAGAGGCAGTTGGATTTACTAAAAGTCAAGGTGGATCAGGGTCAGAGGTCATTCCATGGCAATCACTTGTTTTGAAATCTACTACAGAACGTAATGTATCAAAGACTAATTCCCCCCTCAAATTCTTCACTATTGGTAAAGAGGGGAAATTAACTGCAGAGAAGATTTCAAGTAGTAAAACTGATCATGTTGAGGAGTGTGCTCAGAAATGTGTCAATTTTGGCAGAAAATGTGTTGCTTTTGACTATGAACATCATTCAGAAACCTGTGACCTCCATGCCACTGTGGAAGGGCCTAATGCAGAGTTACGGATCAGTGGAACATACAAAAACTATGAACGACTCGGAGTGGGTTATAGCTCTTTTATAGAACATAATTTAGATTTACAACATGGAATGGTATACATCCTTAATGCTGAGATAACAAACAAACTTGGGTACAAAGGTTATGTGTCATCAGGTGGAACAATGGTAGACCACACCCCTCCAGAGCCAGGATCTGTGGGCAAGGCTACTTTTGATCAGACAAAGTTTGATGGATGTAAGGCTGCAATCACACAAAGATGCATTGACCTAACGTCTCTACCAAATCATAGGTAACTATAGCATAGTAATAATATAGTCAATGCAGTAAGTCCTTATTTTATAATGTTTAATAATTGTATGTAAAAAAGTTTTTTTATTAAAGTTTCTATGAGAGATAGGCAAAAGAAACCAAAGCGGTATTCAAACTCATAAGTCGAAAACAAACTGACCATGCCATGTCAAAAAGCTAAAACTGATCAACAGACAAAAAACAACATAGCAAACTAAGCATTGAGAAACTACGAAAAAAAACATGTGATCTCCGGTGCTCCTGAAGTGTAGGCAGATCCTGCTCTGGCACATGTGAACTTGTGTGATTTTCATAGGGCACTTTTCAGAAATAATTTTATTAATGTTACACAATGTATTTGTGGATTGTATGAAAGTTAAACATTATTTTATTTTATAGAAAGATAATAGATGGACCTGAAGGTTCCACAGTATTCAATGGACATGAGGGTGGAGTAGAAACTCTATACACACTGGCCAATCATTTTATGTCAGGTAATTATTACAGGGTTGACATGAGGGTGGAGTAGAAACTCTATACACACTAGCCAATCACTTTATGTCAGGTAATTATTACAGGGTTGACATGAAGGTGGAGTAGTAACTCTCTACACCCTGGTCAATCATTTTATATCAGGTAATTATTACACAGTTGACATGAAGGTGGAGTAGTAACTCTCTACACCCTGGCCAATCATTTTATATCAGGTAATTATTACAGGGTTGACATGAAGGTGGAGTAGAAACTCTGTACACCCTGGCCAATCATTTTATATCAGGTAATTATTACAGGGTTGACATGAAGGTGGAGTAGTAACTCTATACACCCTGGCCAATCATTTTATATCAGGTAATTATTACAGGGTTGACATGATGGTGGAGTAGAAACTCCGTACACACTAGCCAATCATTTTATATCAGGTAATTATTACAGGATTGACATGAGGGTGGAGTAGAAACTCTATACACACTGGCCAATCATTTTATGTCAGGTAATTATTACAGGGTTGACATGAAGGTGGAGTAGTAACTCTATACACCCTGGCCAATCATTTTATGTCAGGTAATTATTACAGGGTTGACATGAGGGTGGAGTAGAAACTCTGTACACCCTGGCCAATCATTTTATGTCAGGTAATTATTACAGGGTTTACATGAGGGTGGAGTAGTAACTCTATACACCCTGGCCAATCATTTTATGTCAGGTAATTATTACAGGGTTGACATGAAGGTGGAGTAGAAACTCTATACACCCTGGCCAATCATTTTATGCCAGGTAATTATTACAGGGTTGACATGAAGGTGGAGTAGAAACTCTATACACACTGGCCAATCATTTTATATCAGGTAATTATTACAGGGTTGACATGAGGGTGGAGTAGAAACTCTATACACACTGGCCAATCATTTTATGTCAGGTAATTATTACAGGGTTGACATGAGGGTGGAGTAGAAACTCTATACACACTGGCCAATCATTTTATGTCAGGTAATTATTACAGGGTTGACATGAGGGTGGAGTAGAAACTCTATACACACTGGCCAATCATTTTATATCAGGTAATTATTACAGGGTTGACATGAAGGTGGAGTAGAAACTCTATACACACTAGCCAATCATTTTATGTCAGGTAATTATTACAGGGTTGACATGAAGGTGGAGTAGTAACTCTCTACACCCTGGCCAATCATTTTATATCAGGTAATTATTACAGGGTTGACATGAAGGTGGAGTAGAAACTCTGTACACCCTGGCCAATCATTTTATATCAGGTAATTATTACAGGGTTGACATGAAGGTGGAGTAGTAACTCTATACACCCTGGCCAATCATTTTATATCAGGTAATTATTACAGGGTTGACATGAGGGTGGAGTAGTAACTCTCTACAACCTGGCCAATCATTTTATATCAGGTAATTATTACAGAGTTGACAAGAAGGTGGAGTAGAAACTCTATACACCCTGGCCAATCATTTTATGTCGGGTAATTTTTACAGGGTTGACATGAAGGTGGAGTAGAAACTCTATACACACTGGCCAATCATTTTATATCAGGTAATTATTACAGGGTTGACATGAGGGTGGAGTAGAAACTCTCTACACCCTGGCCAATCATTTTATATCAGGTCATTATTACACAGTTGACATGAAGGTGGAGTAGTAACTCTCTACACCCTGGCCAATCATTTTATGTCAGGTAATTATTACACGGTTGACATGAAGGTGGAGTAGTAACTCTATACACACTAGCCAATCATTTATGTCAGGTAATTATCATAAAGTTGACATAGAAAGGCCCTAAATGTCAAACTTGAAATTAATCTGAATGAAAAATCAGTTTTAAATTTAGACAAAAATTGATTAAACTGTACACAGTAGTAGAACACTACATAAGGATGTGCCTAAAGGAATATATTCCCATTTTAACTTGTTAAAGGGGAGATAATCAATTTACTTACTTAAATATTTCTATAATAGACCATATGTGGTAATATTCTCTAGTAAGGCAGGGGTATTTTTTTTTGTGAGTTCACTCACAGTTCTGGTTTATTAACAACTTAAAAAATAGGTTTGAAGGTAAAATAAAACTGCTTTTAAAAAAATCCTTTCTACTGAAACCCTAATTGCCAGTGTTGATTAAATGTTAGTAAGGTGATAGAGAATTTTTCAAACTTTTGTTATTTTGATTATCCACTATCCACTATCAAAGATGACCGTCCTTATATAAAAAAAAACCCACTTATAGAATTATGATAGAAACATTAAGAAGGACCAAGATGAGAAGTATTTCAACCTATCATCTGTAACTTCATTTTATCAAAATATGTTAAAAAAGATTTTTAGGCAAAAAAGATTTAAAGGCTCTATATAGGCTGTAGTTAAAATCTTTTAATGAATGGATTAATACCTTTATTATCATTATATATTACAGCTAACTGGGATGGCTTTAATGACAATGAGACGGGTATCTTTGGATATACTTGGTCCGTTGGTACAACAGTTTGTGGAACAGATATTGCCACCTTCTCTGATCCACATGCTCACTTGTCTAGTCCTAAGTTCTGGACCAACACAGGATATGCCAGGAACCTACATCTGCCTGATGGTCCCTATTATGTCACAGTCCAAGCTATTAACAATGTGGTCCACGGTGGTGCCATGATAACAACAGTGTGTCACTCGACACCCATCACGGTTGATACTACACCACCCTTCTTTTCCAGAGGTGTGACAGATGACGACATTGTTTTTGACGAGGATTTTAACTTGATGGCTATGTATTTTGATACATTTGATCCAGGATCTAAGATAAAGAACATAGATTTTGGTCTAGGACTAACAAAACATGATGTGGATGTGAGAGGATACTCCACATTTGATTACAAAGAGAACCAAACCTTTATTGTAATTGATGATTTAAACCTTGCCTCAGGAGAACCTGTCTGGATTAGACTACGATCAGTTAACAATGGTAATTATATCTTTAAAGGACATTTTTAATATACTGTGGCTTCATTATTATTCGTTGGATACCAATTTTTGTGGATTTCCTGGGTAAAGGTAAACCACAAATTTAAATGAAGTTTCCTATAGGCTAGTATGCACCCTTTGGTAAAACCTGAAATCAAATATCCAAGAAATACAATTTATCCTCAATCCATGAAAATTGGTACCCATCTAAAATATATGAATCCACAGTATATGGTGATTCTATAAGGATCTGATGATAGAAGGTTAAATAATTTATAACACTTTTAATTGGATTTGCAAATAATCTGTGGATTTATCATTCCTGGGGTACCGATTTTTCATAATTTCATGGTTAAAGGTAACACAAGAACTGAAATGTTCAACAAAGTATATAATTTCTATAGGCTTGCAAATCCAGGAAATCAACTATTCAGGAAATTGCAAGAATACTAAACATAAATGTGACAAATTTAAGACAACAATAGAAAAATTGAAAACCATTGAAATGGTAGGTCTATTTAAATTAGGACCAACAATAATCATTGACATTCAGGCATGAAATGTTTCTCACTACACAGAACACTTGATTGGCAGAACCAAGTCAATGGCTGATGAAAAATGGAGATGTGGAAATATTTATGTTATTTAATGAAACAGCAACCCTAGGCACAAATAATCAAAATCATATAAAAGTCAGCATATGCCTAATTTTTGTGTTTCAGTGAACCTGTTCTGTTCTCGACACTTTGAAATGTAAACCCTATCCTATCCATTAGCTAGTCATGTATTATGTATTCACTATTTCAGTGGACCTGTTTACAACAGCTCACAGTGACAACCCTATCTTGATAGACAGAACCCAGCCAGTAGCTGGTCATGTTTTAGATGGAGACATTATGGATGAAGACCTGAAGTATCAGTCTGATAGCAGTAAAGTTTGTGCTCAGTGGAATGGGTTTTATGATCCTGAATCAGGGTTAATTGAGTAAGGAACTATCAGTACTAATGAGTAAAGTTCTGTAACAAGTTAAAGTCAATTTATTGGGTTTTTTCTCACACATGTCAAATAATAATTTATTTTGGTTATTTTCTTTTATTTCAGTGACAATGTTTATCACACGCTTCAGTGACAAAGAATCCTGATTTTCGAATTAAGACAATCCTGATCTGGGGGGGTTCAGCATGTTAAACTTTCATAATATCATAAGTAGTATTTATAAATAGGCATACCTAATTTATCTTTTTTGATACCAGAATGTATTTGTTATATCCCTATCTATGGAAAGCCTCAGCTGTCATATATTAGACATTTACAAAACGTTATGCTGAAGCTTAAAATGTAAAGTTAAGACAGCGTGATGATGAATTGAGTTATCAAAATGCTAACTCTAAATTACAATATGCGAAGTTGAATCTGCGCAATGTTGACTTGCAATGACAAGTGCTTTAGTCGTGATTGTATAATGATAAGTCACGATGTTGTGATGATATGCCAAACACACGTAACGTTAGGTTTAAAGTACATGATGTGAAGTTGACGTTGCATGATGTTAGCTTGCAGATGGATACTGCTCAGTCATCCACATCGACAGCAATGATAACAAATAAAATGAATAGCTAAAATGTATGGTGCTGACTTGTTATTAATAAATGTTGAGCTGAGATAGTACGATGTTATATCATTGTGATATTACGATTGGTCTATCATGCAATCTGTTGATTTAAAACACCATGATGCACAGTTGAAAGTACATGATGCTAAGTTAAGATAACACGATGCTACACCACTATATTGAAACGAAAGGCTAACCATACAATTTGTTGACTTAAAACAACACGATGCAACGTGTTAATCTCAGATGCTCACTTAAAACTACCGGACGTACAGTTGAAATTTTGTAATGTTAAGCTGCGATAGCACGATGTTTTATCATTATAATATCACGATAGGCTTATTATACAATTTGCTCATTTAAAACTACACAACGTACAGTTGAAAGTACGTGATGTTAAGCTAAAATGGCACGTTGTTATATCATTAGAATTTCACGATAGGCTTACCACACGATATGCTGGTTTAAAACTACACGACGTACAGTTGAAAGTACGTGATGTTGAGCTATGATAGCAATATCTTATATCATAATCATATCACGATAGGATTGCCATACAATATGCTCATTTAAAAATACACGACGTACAGTTGGAAGTACGTGTTGTTCAGCTAAGACAGCACGATGTTATATCATTATAATGTCACGATAGGCTTATTATACAATTTGCTCATTTAAAATTACACCACGAACAGCTGAAAGTACGTGATGTTAAGCTAAGACAGCACGTTGTTATATCATTATAATGTCACGATTGGCTTACCACACGTTATGCTCATTTAAAACTACATGATTTTCAGTTGAAACTAGGTGTTGTTGAGCTAAGATAGCATGTTTTTATATCATTTGAATGTCACGATAGGCTTACCATACAATATGCTCATTTAAAACTACACAACGTACAGTTGAAAGTATGTGATGTTGAGCTATGATAGCACGATGTTATATCATAATAATATCACGATAGGCTTGCCATACAATATGCTCAGTCAAAACTACACGACGTACAGTTGAAAGTACGTGTTGTTGAGCTCAGATAGCACGATGTTATATCATTATGACGTCACGAGAGGCTTATCATACAATGTGTTGACTTGAAACTACACGATGTAAATTTGAAGTAGTTTGGTCTTGACTTGAAACAGTAAAATGTTAAGTTAAAAAAACAGAACGTAAAGTCAAAATAAAACAATGATAGGATGACATATACTTGTGCAGAATTGAAGATTTTTGGTGTTGACTTCGAATATAGTACAAATATTAGATCGTTTTATGTTAAATTGAAAGACAATAATGATGCGTAAAACATTACAGAATTATGTGAATTGAAACTGCAATTCTATGGAAAAGAATGAGGGACAAATCCCCAGGATTTTTTCTTCTTCATTTGCAAGTTCGGAGGCAAAATGATATACAAAGAAAGTTTTCCATAAATTCATAAAGCAAAAGAATTACCCATCGCTATATATTACACTTGAATACAGTTTTGCCGTATATTTTACATGTTTTGTTTGGATTTTTTTTATGATTAAAAACTAGACTTTTTTTTATGAACAATATTTAAGAAAATATTTATCTATGTTGTGTGTTAATATATACAATTAACATAATATTGTGCTTATAAGACTTCGGTTATGACTGTGAGGGTCAAATTTTACTCATATAAAATCTCATCTATGTAAGAGTTAGCGGAGAATTTGTATTTACCACTCCCGTTTTCCACGAAATAAAACATAAGAATCTGGAGTCTTAATCTTAAAAAACAAAGATCAACTGATATGACAAATAATACGGTAAAGCGTTGGACTGAGAGGGTCAGAGCTTTATGAGAATGTGACCCACCCCCGGCCTTGTTAGAGGTATCTGAAAATTTGAATTTTCTTTTCCTTGAAATAAAACAAAAAGAATTGATAGGTGGAAGAATCCTACTGCTAGGGGGCCAACCCAAATATAAAGTATGGTAGATTTTGTTGTATACTTTTCGCTCATACATGAAGTCTATATGAAACCGAATGAAATTTGACCTAGAGCCTCCAGTCTAAATCGTCAACTTTCAAAAAAAGAAATACATCATTTACAGCAGTGCCAACCATTTTTCCAGCACCAAGTAAGATAGTGCCCAGGTTTATGTATATATCCACTCGAAGAATATTTTATTTTTTTAAATTGGTAAAGTCATTAATGGACAATGACCCCTATAACTTATAATAAGAAGCCAATTAATGATTTCCGTCACTTATTTTCTTGTCCATAGTGATTTTCTTGGTTCTTTGCAGCTTCTCTCTATCTATATGTGTTTTCAAAGAAAAAGAAAAAAATCAAAAATCTTTAAAAATTGTTAAAGTCCATGAATTATTTTGGTATTGCTTTAATTAATTTGTAGATATGTTTTTTTATGTCTCTCTGTCTCTCTCTCTCTCTTATAGTTTTCATGAGTGTGGTCTAAATTAAAATCGATATATTTTTTTTATGCAGGTTATGCAGTATTGTCAGATTTAGTATAAACTATACATGGAAAACTCAATGTTAGAAATAAAAATAAAAATTGGGATCACGAGACTCGTTTTCTGTCTACAAAACGAAATAGATAAAGTCCCTACACATTCCATCATTAGAGACGAAATATGCCAAAATGATTTCAAACTCATAAGTCGAAAACAGAATGACAATGCCATGGCAAAAAACAAAAAAAATAAAAAACGACAGAAAAATAATGTTATCCGAGTTATATGGAAAAGTTGAAAAACATATGCAAAAAACGTTCTGTATTCAAAAACAAATAGTCGTTTTAATCAGATAAATCTCATAATTTTCTTCATCAAGATGAAAAGTACTACATATGAATAACATTCCTCTCTCAAAATGTGTATATTTTTTTAGATCTAGACCGATTGTGTTGAGCTAAGGGAGCTACCATGTGATTTTTATGGGGGAGAGGGGGTGGGCTAGGACGAAAAATTTTGTCCTGCCTTTTTTGTAGTTGTAATCTCTGTCCTGCCTTTTTATTTTTCACTCTATTCGGTCCTGCATTTTTTTTCTATTAGTTTATTCTGACTTTTTTTACATAAATTGTCATCCTGCCTTTTTTTTGCCAAGTTGCGCATCCTGCCTTTTTTTTGCCAAATTGCGCATCATGCCTTTTTTTTACTCAAAACTCCTGTCCTGCCTTTTTCTCAAATTTCATTCTAGTCCCCAATAAAAATCAAATGGTAGCTCCCTAAGATGGCGGAAGACACTCGATCTATCCTAAGGGCAATATATCTAATGAGGAAGAAATTTACAATTTCGGTCACGTCGAGTTACTTGTAGATCTCCTTTTCTTGAAAAGGGTTTCTGTTTTCATTTATCTATCTATTATACTGTTCAGGGGGAGGAAGTCCAGATTTTTTTGTTTTATTTCGGGAAAAAGGGGTGCGTTTTACGTACAGTGGCAAATATTACATGCATATCAGGACGAGAACATGTAAGTGTGATATGAATATGAATAAACCCTGCTTTGTTACAAGACAACTTATAAGCACAATATTATGTTGTATATATTAACACACAACATCGATAAATATTTTCTGAAATATTGTTCATAAAAAAAAGTCTGGTTTTTAATCATAAAAAAAAAATTCAAACAAAACATGTAAAAATAATACATAGCGATGGGTAATTCTTTTGCTTTATGAATTTATGGAAAACTTTCTTTGTATATCATTTTGCCTCCGAACTTGCAAATGAAGAAGAAAAAATCCTGGGGATTTGTCCCTCATTCTTTTCCATAGAACTGCAGTTTCAATTCACATAATTCTGTAATGTTTTACGCATCATTATTGTCTTTCAATTTAACATAAAACGATCTAATATTTGTACAATATTCGAAGTCAACACCACAAATCTTCAATTCTGCACAAGTATATGTCATCCTATCATTGTTTTATTTTGAATTTACGTTCTGTTTTTTTAACTTAACATTTTACTGTTTCAAGTCAAGACCAAACTACTTCAAATTTACATCGTGTAGTTTCAAGTCAACACATTGTATGATAAGCCTCTCGTGACGTCATAATGATATAACATCGTGCTATCTGAGCTCAACAACACGTACTTTCAACTGTACGTCGTGTAGTTTTGACTGAGCATATTGTATGGCAAGCCTATCGTGATATTATTATGATATAACATCGTGCTATCATAGCTCAACATCACATACTTTCAACTGTACGTTGTGTAGTTTTAAATGAGCATATTGTATGGTAAGCCTATCGTGACATTCAAATGATATAAAAACATGCTATCTTAGCTCAACAACACCTAGTTTCAACTGAAAATCATGTAGTTTTAAATGAGCATAACGTGTGGTAAGCCAATCGTGACATTATAATGATATAACAACGTGCTGTCTTAGCTTAACATCACGTACTTTCAGCTGTTCGTGGTGTAATTTTAAATGAGCAAATTGTATAATAAGCCTATCGTGACATTATAATGATATAACATCGTGCTGTCTTAGCTGAACAACACGTACTTCCAACTGTACGTCGTGTATTTTTAAATGAGCATATTGTATGGCAAGCCTATCGTGATATGATTATGATATAAGATATTGCTATCATAGCTCAACATCACGTACTTTCAACTGTACGTCGTGTAGTTTTAAACAAGCATATCGTGTGGTAAGCCTATCGTGACATTCAAATGATATAACAACGTGCCATTTTAGCTTAACATCACGTACTTTCAACTGTACGTTGTATAGTTTTAAATGAGCAAATTGTATAATAAGCCTATCGTGATATTATAATGATAAAACATCGTGCTATCGCAGCTTAACATTACAAAATTTCAACTGTACGTCCTGTAGTTTTAAGTGAGCATCTGAGATTAACACGTTGCATCGTGTTGTTTTAAGTCAACAAATTGTATGGTTAGCCTTTCGTTTCAATATAGTGGTGTAGCATCGTGTTATCTTAACTTAACATCATGTACTTTCAACTGTGCATCATGGTGTTTTAAATCAACAGATTGCATGATAGACCAATCGTAATATCACAATGATATAACATCGTACTATCTCAGCTCAACATTTATTAATAACAAGTCAGCACCATACATTTTAGCTATTCATTTTATTTGTTATCATTGCTGTCGATGTGGATGACTGAGCAGTATCCATCTGCAAGCTAACATCATGCAACGTCAACTTCACATCATGTACTTTAAACCCAACGTTACGTGTGTTTGGCATATCATCACAACACTGTGACTTATCATTATACTAATACGACTAAAGCACTTGTCATTGCAAGTCAACATTGCGCAGATTCAACTTCGCATATTGTTATTTAGAGTTAGCATTTTGATAACTCAATTCATCATCACGCTGTCTTAACTTTACATTTTAAGCTTCAGCATAACGTTTTGTAAATGTCTAATATATGACAGCTGAGGCTTTCCATACCTATCGATATTTGTGGAAAGGAGGTATAAATGCTAGGACTTCGGCTGACAGAATATGTCGTTTGGTATCCAAATGTTTTTTTTGATATGGGTATGAATTTTTTTAGAGATGGGTATACATTTTGTGAACTAAAAACAGAATATGTAGTTTGATAATACACTTTAATTTCAGATACAGATGGGGAGTAGGAACAACAGTTGGAAGAGATGATATTGTACCGTTTAAAAATAAAACATTTTCCCGTGATGTGAAGGATTCCTGTGCTGACGTACAGTTACAACACAACATGACATATTACTCCACTGTTATAGCTAAAAATAGTGCACTGAATCCTAAAACTGTGAAGGGATATTCTAATGGAGGTAATTTATACAAATGTTTGGGATCATGTAGAAATAGAAAAAAAAATGTTATAATGGTTATCTGGGTGCATGTGTCTAGTTTTAGTGAACTTAAGTTGATCCCATCTTTTTCACATTAAACTCCTAGCTCTTTTAATTATTTACCATCATACTGGGTTCACCTGACCTCGACCTCATTTCATGAATCAGTTATCAATGTTAAAGTCAGGTGATATGGTCCATTTCTCAGGTCAATTATATTTGGTGAATGGAATTATTGTTAGGTGTACATACAAATAAGAAGATGTGGTATGAGTGCCAATGAGACAACTCTCCATCCAAGTCATAATGTATAAAAAGTAAACAATTATAGGTCAAAGTACGGCCTTCACCACGGAGCCTTGGCTCACACCAAACAGCAAGCTATAAAAGGCTCCAAAATGACTAGTGTAAAACAATTAAAACAGGAAAACAACGGTCTAATCTTTATAAAAAACGAGAAACACTTATGAAACACCAACAAACTACAACCACTGAACAACAGGCTCCAAGTCTGTCTGGTAGTTAATATCTCACCTTGGCCTCATTTTCATAGTTCATTGTTCAATGTAAAGTTTTTGTGTTTTGGTCTGTTTCTCAGATACTATAAGCAATAGATCAACTATATTTGGTGTATTGAATGATTGTAAGTTGTACATGTCTGTCTGGCAGGTACCATATAATCTTGACCTCATTTTGTGGTTTTTGGTTAATATTGAGTTTCATGGTTAGGTCTGTTCTATAAGCAATAAGTTAACTTATTTTATTATATAGAATTACTGTAAGGTGTTCATGTACTGTTTGTAGTAAAACCTTTATCTAAAAGACTTTCAAAATAAGATTAAAATTAATTAGTTAAGCAGGTTAGACATTTCAGCATTTGCACTCTCGTTTATAAAAGTTTTTATGTAAATATTAAACATAAACCTGTTTATTATAGTACTTATTGACACAACAGCACCTGTAAAAGGATGGATTGTGGATGGAAATATTGGAAAGAAACATGACATGAACTTTTCTTCAGAGACAGCTGAGGTCTCCTCAATGTGGGGTGGATTTAGTGACCCAGAAAGTGGAATTGTCTCCTACAACCTAGACGTTTATATAAACAATAAACTCTCACAAACATTTGACAATGGTATAAAGACAGAGTTTGTGGATTACTCACTGAGTATGAAACATGGCGATCATATTTATGTCAAACTGACAGCTAAAAATGGAGCTGATATTTCCAGCGTCATGAGATCAGATGGTTTTACTATTGACCAAACTCCACCCATTGTTAAATACCTGTATGACACAGAAGATGGAAAACATTATCAAAGTAATGGCACACGCCTCAATCTGAAGTGGGAGTTTGAAGATCCTGAATCTGGGATGAAGGAATATCGCTATTATATTGAAGACTTTCATCAAGGTCAAGGACAAAAGTTTTATCCAAAAGGACAAGATTACATCACACTTCCCATAACTGAAAAAAATATTACGGCCACTGTAGTTCTCTCTAACTTAAATCTCCTAAGTGGACACAAGTATTCAGTGAAGGTTGTGGCCATTAACCATGCAGATATGCCAACCTCTCAGGAATCGACAGGTGTTATGATAGATACTACACCTCCTGTTCTGGATAAGGTAATACTCAGGAATCAACAGGTGTTATGATAGATACTACACCACCTGTACTGGATAAGGTAATGCTCAGGAATCCACAGGTGTTATGATAGATACTACACCTCCTGTTCTGGATAAGGTAATACACAGGAATCTACAGGTGTCATGATAGATACTACACCTCCTGTACTGGATAAAGTAATACTCAGGAAATGACAGGTGTTATGATAGATACTACACCTCCTGTACTGGATAAGGTAAAACTCAGGAATCTACAGGTGTTATGATAGATACTTAACACCTCCTGTTCTGGATAAGGTAATGCTCAGGAATCCACAGGTGTTATGATAGATACTACACCTCCTGTACTGGATAAGGTAATACTCAGGAATCGACAGGTGTTATGATAGATAACTACACCACCTGTACTGGATAAGGTAATACACAGGAATCTACAGGTGTTATGATAAATACTACACCACCTGTTTTAGACAAGGTAATACTCAGGAATCTACAGGTGTTATGATAGATACTACATCTCCTGTACTGGATAACGTAATACTCAGGAATCTACAGGTGTTATGATAGATACTACACCTCCTGTACTGGATAAGGTAATACACAGGAATCTACAGGTGATATGATAGATACTACACCTCCTGTACTGGATAGGTAATACTCAGGAATCCACAGGTGTTATGATAGATACTACACCTCCTGTACTGGATAAGGTAATACTCAGGAATCCACAGGTGTTATGATAGATACTACACCTCCTGTACTGGATAAGGTAATACACAGGAATCTACAGGTGTTATGATAGATACTACACCTCCTGTACTGGATAAGGTAATACTCAGGAATCCACAGGTGTTATGATAGATACTACACCTCCTGTACTGGATAAGGTAATACACAGGAATCCACAGGTGTTATGATAGATACTACACCTCCTGTACTGGATAAGGTAATACTCAGGAATCGACAGGTGTTATGATAGATACTACTCCTCATGTTCTAGATAAGGTAATACTCCAGAATCGACAGGTGTTATGATAGATACTGCACCTCCTGTACTGGATAAGGTAATTCACAGGAATCTACAGGTGTTATGATAGATACTACACCTCCTGTTCTAGACAAGGTAATACTCAGGAATCTACAGGTGTTATGATAGATACTACACCTCCTGTTCTAGACAAGGTAATACTCAGGAATCTACAGGTGTTATGGTAGATACTACACTTCCTCATGTTCCTGTACTAGACAAGGTAATACTCAGGAATCGACAGGTGTTATGATAGATACTACACCTCCTGTTCTAGACAAGGTAATACTCAGGAATCTACAGGTGTTATGATAGATACTACACCTCCTGTTCTAGACAAGGTAATACTCAGGAATCTACAGGTGTTATGATAGATACTACACCTCCTGTTCTAGACAAGGTAATACTCAGGAATCTACAGGTGTTATGGAAGATACTACACTTCCTCATGTTCCTGTACTAGACAAGGTAATACTCAGGAATCGACAGGTGTTATGATAGATACTACACCTCCTGTACTGGATAAGGTAATACTCAGGAATCTACAGGTGTTATGATAGATACTACACCTCCTGTACTGGAAAAGGTAATACTCAGGAATCTACACGTGTTATGAAAGTTACTACACCTCCTGTACTGGATAAGGTAATACTCAGGAATCGACAAGTGTTATGATAGATACTACACCTCCTGTACTGGATAAGGTAATACTGAGGAATCTACAGGTGTTATTACAGATACTACACCTCCTGTACTGGATAAGGTAATACACAGGAATCTACAGGTTTCATGATAGATACTACACCTCCTGTACTGGACAAGGTAATACACAGGAATCTACAGGTGTTATGATAGATACTACACCTCCTGTACTGGATAAGGTAATACACAGGAATCTACACGTGTTATGATAGATACTACACCTCCTGTACTGGATAAGGTAATACACAGGAATCTATAGGTGTTATGATAGATACTACACCTCCTGTACTGGATAAGGTAATACTCAGGAATCTACAGGTGTTATGATAGATACTACACCTCCTGTTCTAGACAAGGTAATACTCAGGAATCTACAGGTGTTATGGTAGATACTACACTTCCTCATGTTCCTGTACTAGACAAGGTAATACTCAGGAATCAACAGGTGTTATGATAGATACTACACCTCCTGTACTGGATAAGGTAATACTCAGGAATCGACAGGTGTTATGATAGATACTACACCTCCTGTACTGGATAAGGTAATACACAGGAATCTACAGGTGTTATGATAGATACTACACCTCCTGTACTGATAAGGTAATACACAGGAATCTACAGGTGTTATGATAGATACTACACCTCCTGTACTGGATAAGGTAATACACAGGAATCCACAGGTGTTGTGATAGATACTACACCTCCTGTACTGGATAAGGTAATACTCAGGAATCCACAGGTGTTGTGATAGATACTACACCTCCTGTACTGGATAAGGTAATACACAGGAATCCACAGGTGTAATGATAGATACTACACCTCCTGTTCTGGATAAGGTAATACACAGGAATCCACAGGTGTTATGATAGATACTACACCTCCTGTACTGGATAAGGTAATACACAGGAATCCACAGGTGTAATGATAGATACTACACCTCCTGTTCTGGATAAGGTAATACTCAGGAATCCACAGGTGTTATGATAGATACTACACCTACTGTACTGGATAAGGTAATACTCAGGAATCCACAGGTGTTGTGATAGATACTACACCACCTGTACTGGATAAGGTAATACTCAGGAATCTACAGGTGTTATGATAGATACTACACCACCTGTACTGGATAAGGTAATACTCAGGAATCTACAGGTGTTATGATAGATACTACACCTCCTGTTCTGAACAAGGTAATACACAGGAATCTACAGGTGTTATGATAGATACTACACCTCCTGTTCTGGACAAGGTAATACTGACTGGAATCTTCAGGTGTTCTTGTAGATACTACACCTCCTGTACTGGATAAGGTAATACAATTTTAGAATTAAAAAGATTAGACTGTAACATATGAAGATAAATGTGTACTCCCACTAGAATTTAAGTATCTTTTGTTCTGCAATGAATATGAATAAGCCCCAATGTGGTGATAAAGTTCAGATCTCAAGAAAATTTCTAAAATATTTTTTCAGATTTTCAAATTAAACATTTTCAGTGTGCATCAAAATGACTTGAAAATTAGTACATATGTTCATTTTGAAGTGAACTTTAAAATAAAATGCCAAATTAGGGTTTTGATCCATTTATTTTGCACGACGAAGAATGTGATGTCTTATGGATACATATTCTTGTTCATTCAAAATATTGTTATGCCAAGTTAACAAACATTAAATTTTATCACATGTTCTTCTTACTTTCCAGATTCATCTTGGACTTCAGACAGCTCCTCAGGAAATTAGTGATGATAAACGCTTTATTGAACATGATGATCAGCATAGCATAACCTTGACCTGGAAGTCACATGATTTCCAAAGTAGCATTATTAAAAGTTATGTAGCCATTGGTTCCTATTATGGTGACACTTCTGTAACAAAAGGTTTCCTGGAATTTGGAGCTGAACGTAAGGTTATCCTGAATGACCTAAATCTTAAACCAGCTTCTGGAAATGATTCTGTATATTACTATGTCCAGGTCAAAGTTGAAAATGGTGCTGGAATGTTCTCCGAAATAAAGAACTTATCATTACCAATTAAAGTTCTGAAGGATAACATCCCTGGTAAAGTTTTTGATGGCAGGAATGACCTTGAGGATGTTGATTTTACAATTGACAGAACTTCGGTAGGAATGTCATTTGTTGGTTTTGAAAGTGAGCAATGCAGCATTGTAGGATATGAATGGGCCATTGGCAGTCAGCCATTTTATTATGATGTCCTTCCGTTCACTAGATATGGAATAGTTCTAGTGAATGATACATATGGACGAGGTCAAATCCACACAGAACTTTATGAGGGATCAACTTATTATGTAACAGTTAGGGCACAGACAGGGCATCGGTGTAAAGAGGAATATATCCTGTCATGCTCCAATGGTTTCTCATTAGATACTACTCCTCCTGACATCAGAATGATCAGTTTTGGAGAGGAAAAGATCAACCCAGAAACTATCACAACAAGCTTGTATCAAAATAGAACAGATTCACTTGATTTCAGATGGGAGTCTAAGGATGCTTTCGGCATTGTTAAGAACTGGTGGTCTATTGGTTCTTTACCTGGGAAGCATGACATTCATCAAGTTACCGTAACTAAGGACAATTATATACCAGCAGGATCAGTCTCATTTAAACATGGACAGACATTCTTCCTGAATACTGGTGCCATAGATAAAGCAGGGAACCAGAGAGTCGTATCGTCTCCTTCCATAACTGTTGATACAACCATACCAGAGATCTTAGATTTGAGATGTACACAACATATATCAGTTCTCAAGTCTCTTGTGGACTGTAAATGGGAAATGATCAGGGAATTTGAAAGTACCATAAAGAATTTCACTGTTGGAGTTGGATCTGTAGAAACAAAGACAGACATATCTCTTTTCCACAAGCAGGACACAAATAGACGTTCCTGGACAAGAGATTTATTAACCAGAATTAAGAACAATAACCTAACAGAAATATACATCATCTTCAAATTAGAAAATGTACTTGGAATGGCTAAAACATTACCATATAAGATCATAGTGGACAGAAGTATACCCATTGGTGGAAAAGTTGACATTGTGACCAGTATTGACTTGGATGAACCAATCATGAAGCAGTATTGTCAGATCCCACTTAGCTTTATTGAATTTACAGTGAATGGATGGCAGGATGATGAATCAGGCATAGAGAGGTAATTGATATTCTCTACTGTAGAATAGGAATAGCTCTTAGTATAACATGTCATTTCTTTCTTAGATTAGACTTTCACATACAATATCTTGGAAAATGAGTTGAACTTTTGTTTCAATATTCTAAATAAAATATGTGATTAAATTTGAAAAGGATGTGCATGTTGGATAGGTCAAATGACTAAACTGTTGTGTGTATAAACAAGATTTATTTTTCACCAGTTATTGGTCAGGTTGATTCATATATTCTTATTTTTATAGTTTGTTCTTACATGTATGTTGTGTCATAACACCACTGTCCCAGGTTAGGGGAGGGTTGAGCGCTCACAAACCCTGCCACATTCTCTATGTGCCTGTCCCAAGTCAAGTCTGTATTTCAGTGGTTGTCGTTGGTTCATGTCTTGTCATATTTGTTTTTCGTAAATTTTTTTGTTATAGATTAGGCTGTTAGTTTTCTTAATTGGATTGTTTCATATTTTTTATGTCGGGGCCTTTTATAGCAGACTATACTGTATAGGTTTTTCTCATTGTTGAAGGCCTTACGGTTGCCTATAATTGCTTACATCTACTTTATTTGAACTTTGGTTATTGGCAATCATACCAAAACTCCTTATACATGTTATATAATGCATGTTGTTTTTCTTTAAGTTGGTTGTTTGTTGAGATATCACTTAGATTAAGTAATTCTGTTACTTCCATTATGCAGTAATATATCTATTTGAAAAAAAATTAAATTAAATGAACCTAAAAAAAAGAACATACACAAGTATTGTATCACACAGTACATCACTGAGATATACACAAGTATTGTACCACACAGTACATCATGGAGACATACACAAGTATTGTACCACACAGTACATCACGGAGACATACACAAGTATTGTACCACACAGTACATCATGGAGACATACACAAGTATTGTACCACACAGTACATCATGGAGACATACACAAGTATTGTACCACACAGTACATCACAGATATACACAAGTATTGTACCACACAGTACATCACAGACATACACAAGTATTGTACCACACAGTACATCATGGAGACATACACAAGTATTGTACCACACAGTACATCACAGAGACATACACAAGTATTGTACCACACAGTACATCACGGAGACATAAGTATTGTACCACACAGTACATCACGGGGACATACACAAGTATTGTACCACACAGTACATCACCGAGACATACACAAGTATTGTACCACACAGTACATCATGGAGATACACACAAGTATTGTACCACACAGTACATCACTGAGATACACACAAGTATTGTACCACACAGTACATCACTGAGATATAGTTTTTTTTATAGTTTAACTTCATTTGAGTTTATACTTAAACAGAGCTGCATACTAAATGTTTACTTGTTATCAAAAATCATGTTTGTTGGGATTTGGAAACATTGTTATAATTACTTTAAACTAAATGATAATCCCCATAATACATTGTGATATTTCAGCAATGCTTTTATTGCTCAATTTCAGGTATGAAGCAGCCATTGGAGCATATGGAAGGACAACAAATATCCAAGATTTCTCTTCAATAAATGGTATAGACAAAGTTTTAATCCCTTACTTAAATATGGATGATGGCAGTGATGTTACAGTAACAGTTCGAGCATTCAACAAAGCTGGATTGTATGGACAGATGACCTCTGACCCTGTGATTATTAGCCTGGTACCTCAGCTAACTGTAATTGATGGAAACAGTCTTGAGGATGAGGACTACCAGACGTCACTGAATGTCATTCAAGGTTATTGGAAGTATTCAGACAGATGTAAGATTATATCTGCGGAATGGTCTGTCGAGGATATTGCTGGAAATGTATTACAGGATTACCTCCCCTTGCCTGCAGCAGGATCTCATTTCTACTCTGATGTCATGAATCTTACAAATGGAATAACTTACATTAGTATCATTCGAACAGTCGATGCACTTAATAGGACAAGAATTGCTAGGTCTGATGGGATAGCTGTAAAGATAGAACCCCCTGTTCCAGGGACAGTCAGGGATGGGGAGAGAGACGATTTAACTTATCAAGAATCTATACATGAATTACTTGTTAACTGGGATCCCTTTGGAAATGCCAAGTCTCATGATCCAACACAGAAAATCAGAAAGTATGAAGTAGCTATAGGTACTGACAGAAGATATGCTAAAACCAGGAGCAATGTACACTACTTTGTTGATGTTGGACTGAACACCTCATATTCATTCAAAAACATGAACTTAACGGCCAAAACTGTAACATATTATATGACAGTAAGAGGCTACAGCAATGCTGGCAGCTACCAGGAAGAAAGCTCTAATGGGATTAAAGTAGGCTACCATGATGAAATATTCCCTGGATTGGTAGAGTATAGTACAGTACAATCATACACTGATAAACTATACGTATCCTGGAGTGGGTTCCAAGCTGATATGGGCATTGATCAATTCAGAGTCGGTGTTTCTACATTTAAACCAATACAGTTGCCAAATATAACACTTAACTGTAAAGAGTATGATAAGTACATTCCTGAATTTGATGTGGTTCCTCTCTATGATGTTGGAATTGATACCTTTACCGAAATGAAGAATTTGTCTTTAATTCATAGTCATCAGTATTATGTTGCAGTAATAGCCACAGACTCTACACACAGATGTATGGGATCTTTTGGTCCATCCCTAATGATAGATGCCACACCCCCTTCAGCTGGAGAATTATATCTGCCTGGTGGAGTTGGTCCAAATGCTGCATATGTTTTTGATCCAAAGAGACTGGGAATATCCTGGACTGAATTTAAGGACCCAGAAAGTTCTGTACACAAGTATGAAGTCAAACTGTATTCTGGAACCACATGTTATGATGAAGGAAAACTCCTAGAAGATGGCATTGGTAGTAGTTATTCTGTTATAAGATCAACTGATGTAACCAGTGACCTTCAAACTGAATTCTACGATTTAAAACTTAATAGAGCATTTACCTATGTAATAACTATAAGAGCTATCAATGGAGCTGGATTGACGACAACAGTCAGGTCCCCTCCAGTACGGTTAGATACAACACCACCTGTTCCTGGGGCTGTCAAAATGGGAACTGACTGGAAATCTGACATAACCTTCCAGTCTTCTACAGACAAGATGGAGGGAATGATTGGGATAGCTCATACAGAGAAGGCATCAAAATGTCCGAGACAAGTTCAAGTCTTCCCAGAATTCCAGTCATCAGTGCAGATAGAACCAATAGGATTAGACTTTCATTCAGAATGTATAGTTCGTAAAGATGACACATTATCCTTGTTCATTCGCCACGATGACCAGTTACAGCATATAATAAAGGGTGGTGTAAAATTATCTTCTCATAAGATCCTAGAGGGTAACTATAGTACCATACTGAAAGCTGCATCTGGGAACCAGATGGTTACTAGTTGGTTCCTGGCTTCCAATTTTGATTCTGTGTTCTCTGACTTTGTTTTCAGTCTCCCAGATAATGATAGCAATGTGGAAATGGAAGGTATTGGAAACTCCTTAGCTGTCCCTATACTGACCAGTACAACTAGAAGCAAGATGTTTACTGCAGAGACTACTTACTCCACAGATTTGAAGGCTGATGATGAGATCAGCGACAATACAACTGATGATGGATTAGATAATACAACTGCAGCCTATAAAACTGTAACAGGTTTCATTACTTCAACATTGAATCCAGTAATTGCTAACCAAATTAAAACAACCAAAGGTCATGGGAATATACAACTGAATGGCTCAAATGACCCTGGTACAGAACTTCTAGATCATTACGGAGTCGGCTTCCACATTCCTGGTTACCAGTTTAATGTGAAATGGTATGGTTTCATATGGATAAGAGACAAGTATAAAACAATCACACGACAAGTTGAACTTAAATTTGACCCCACTGTAACTTATAACAACTTTATTGTCAATCTAGAAAAGGTCATGACTCCTATTACTACAACTTGGAGTATTCAAGTGTTTCTGAATGGAGAAACCATTGTCCAGTTTAACGGAATACAGTTTAAGGACTTTGGTGTCTCTGGACTTTATACCTGGAATAAAGATAATTATTTTCCTCCGATAGAAAACATAATGGATCCTTTCATTGGAGAAGCTGTTATAACAAGTCTGAAAATACCATTGCCTAAAGTTGATAGTATGAAATGTGTATATGGAGCAGCATTTTATGATGGAGAAAGTCAAATAAAGGAATTGTGGGTAGGAATATCAGATTCTACAAACAACACAGATTCCATTGCCCCAATGACTTTGTATAGTACATTTTGTATTCAGTGTCAATCTGGTTGTAACATCGGATGTGAAAAGTCATGTGCAGAAAAACGTACAGAAGATTTTGAGATAATCAATATTGTTGTTAGAAACCTGTCACTTACACCTGCTACAGTGGAGAAGTCAAACTACAGTTCTGTAGACGACAATCAATTCAATGCCACCACATATTATTACAATGTCAAGGCAGTTAATTTTGCTGGACAAGAAACTCTGATTCATTCAAAGGGAATTATGGTGGATACAACTCCTCCAGACTTGCAGTATGTGAGATGTGTGGATCCTTCTAACTCTATGGAAGAACCAACTACATACCAGGGTACTAACAGTAGTATGGGAGCTTACTGGGAATGTAGTGAAGATGTGGGAGACATTGTGGATTATATCATACAAATTGGAACAGAAACAGGTATGATATTTAAGTTATCTCCCCCTGAAACATTGTGGATTATATCATACAAATTGGAACAGAAACAGGAATGATATTTAAGTTATCTCCCCCTGAAACATTGTGGATTATATCATACAAATTGGAACAGAAACAGGTATGATATTTAAGTTACCTCCCCCTGAAACATTGTAGATTATATCATACAAATTGGAACAGAGACAGGTATAATATTTCAGTTATCTCCCCCTGAAACATTGTAGATTATATCATACAAATTGGAACAGAGACAGGAATGATATTTAAGTTATCTCCCCCTGAAACATTGTGGATTATATCATACAAATTGGAACAGAGACAGGTATGATATTTAAGTTATCTCCCCCTGAAACATTGTGGATTATATGATACAAATTGGAACAGAAGCAGGTATGATATTTAAGTTATCTCCCCCTGAAACATTGTGGATTATATCATATAAATTGGAACAGAGACAGGAATGATATTTAAGTTATCTCCCCCTGAAACATTGTAGATTATATCATACAAATTGGAACAGAGACGGGAATGATATTTAAGTTTTCTCCCCCTGAAACATTGTAGATTATATCATACAAATTGGAACAGAGACGGGAATGATATTTAAGTTATCTCCCCCTGAAACATTGTGGATTATATCATACAAATTTGAACAGAGACAGGTATGATATTTAAGTTATCTCCCCCTGAAACATTGTGGATTATATCATACAAATTGGAACAGAAGCAGGTATGATATTTAAGTTATCTCCCCCTGAAACATTGTGGATTATATCATACAAATTGGAACAGAAGCAGGTATGATATTTAAGTTATCTCCCCCTGAAACTGTGGATTATATCATACAAATTGGAACAGAAGCAGGTATGATATTTAAGTTATCTCCCCCTGAATGTTTTTAAGGCAATATGAATATATTTGTGATAGTCTGTCAATCCGTCTGTCATGACCAACTTTGTAGCTCTTTTGTCTTGATTTACATCAAAAGTTAATGAATTATTGTACATGATATGAAAGGTGTATGCTTTTGGTTATGTGTACAGTTTAAATGAATTCTATGCCCTTCAACAAATAAATGTTACTCTTTTTATAAAAAAATCCAAAAGTTTCAATTAAGCACAGGGGTTTGTTACAATTTGCCGGGTTTACTATCCATACGAACCCCGAAAATTTTTTTCCATTCCGTATTGATAGTAAACCCGGCAAATTGTAACAAACCCCTGTGAATTAAGTATCTATCAGGTTATAAACGTCTTCAAACAGACTTGCAAAAAATGTGCTTAGTGTGTTTTTTAATATTGGGTCTATTTCTATGTTGATATTTAAGAGAATAGCAGTATCATCCCACCTACAAGAAAAACCAAAATACTGTTAAGATATTAATAGCATATTATTTGTCTGAAATATAATATTAAATTAATAACCCTAACCCTAACCCTAACCCTAAAATTATTTTGCAGGTAAATCTGACATCAAGCCACCTGTTTCTGTTGGATTCAGTAAGAAAATCAAGATAGATGGACTGAGGGGTAAACTCCTGCATGACCATATCTATTTTCTCACTGTGACAGCTGTTAACTCAGCAGGCCTGACGTCCCAGGATTCCTGTAATGTTACCGTGGAGATCATACCACCAGATGTTAGTAATGTCACCCTGTCATACATGTACAGTGATGATGTTGTAGATGATACCATATTTACAGCAGAAGAACATGATATTGGATTAAAATGGGATGGAGGGAGAGATGATGTTGCATTTTATGGTCAGTATTATAATCTTTTTACTATGTGTTTATGTGTTTTATTATGAGTGCTAAATTTAGACTTATTTATGGATACATTGTGAAGATGAAAGCGTAAATATACTACATTTTACATTTCATTGTACAAAGAAAATTATCATCAAAATGTTCTTGGCTTCTGTGATTTTAAAGAGTGATCAGTAATGCTTCATTATACCTTTTACCTCAATTAATTGCCTTTAGAAAAGAAGACAAGATCTACATTTAAGATAATGATGAAGGAAATTTTCCGACAACTCATTATTGAAGTTATTGCCCTTTAATGATGCTTTTTACCAATTTTTTGCATTTTGCCTTTTATGATAAAAATTATAACAGATAAGTAGAAACTTTGAATAACAAAAATGATCAGCAAGACAAGATCCACAAACAAGTAAATTTTTGCCTTTATATTTAGTAGACTGTCTCTCTTCATAGGAATGTTTGCCGTTAAATAGGATTTTTTTCGCCCTCATTTGTGTTTTGAGCAAAAACTGAAGAAAAAAGAGAGAAATTAAACAGACAAAATGATCAGCAATACAAGATCAACAAAAAAGAGATTTTTGTCATGAATTCTAATTTTGGCTACAATGTCGGAGAAAGTCCATTGTTGAATATGCACATAGACCTAGGTGACAACACAGTTTTTCTAGGAGTTATGCCCCTTTGAACTTAGAATTTCTGTCTAAATGTACTACTGCAGGGTTTGTCATCACAACTTCTCTGAATTTACACTACAGTACAGAATTTCATAAAACTTTAAAGATAATAAGAACATACTTTGTAGATGTGCATATCAACAGGAAATTATGATTAATTTTTTTTTGTAGGCGTTTCGCCCAATTTTACTTAGAATTTTGGCCTAAATATACTACTGCAACAGTTTGTTATGACAACTCCTCTGAAACCACACAACAGAATTTCATGAAACTTTGTAGATAATAAGGACATACTACAGTGATATTGTTTGCCTCAGATTACAGCCGAAATTGGACCTTTTCCCCTATAGAAAATTCCCAATTACTAAAAAAAATGGCTTAAAATTCCTCCCAAAAAGTTTTACATTTTCCCCAAACAGTGATGGCATTGGTAGTAATGTTTGTAAATATCGTACTCATGTTATTATTTTGATATTAGAAAGCACTTTTGAGATCCGGTTTTCTGATCAGAATCATCATGGTGTTTGTAACACGTGGTTTTCAATGCATTAAGTACCATCATTGCTTCTGTTTCTTTCCCCTCTTCGAAAAGTACCTTTCAGGTTGAAAATGTCTGACAACCAAAATATACATGAAAACAACAGTGCAAAAAAGACAGCAAAGGTCAGCAAAAAATCGGAGATGTGTTTAGAACAAAATTTCCAAATTTCCCAATTTCCATAAAAAATATGCATTTTTCCCAATAAAAAACGGTAGAGGTAGTTTTGAAAAAAGACAACAATATCACTGTACTATGTAGATGTGCATATCAACAGGCAATTATGATTCCATTTTTTGTCTCGCTTTACGGAGTCAAAAAGCGAGACATAGGTATGTTGTTTCCGGCTTCGGCGGCTGCGGCAGCAACAATGTATTAGTTTGTGATTATGTCTAGTTTGTGGTGAACCACAAGTTGTAGGTCAATCATATTTGGTATACAGTTGTATTAGCATTGGCACATCTCATTTCCATGGAGATTATTTGGCCCTGCCCCCTCAGTCATGGTCTATTGACTTTGAAACTTTTGCTTATTTTACATGTATTAGTTTGTGATTAGGTCAGTTTATGGGGGACCATTATTGGTGGGTCAATGATATTTGGTATGCAGTTGTATTAACATTGGCACATCTCATTTCCATGGAGATTATTTGGCTCAGCCCCCTTAGTCATGGTCTATTGACTTTGAAAATTTTGCTTAGTTAACATGTATTAGTTTGTGATTATCATGTAATTAGTGGCTATATTGTGATGTCCACACTTCAATGAAATTAGCCACTGTGTTATTCATACCATCCCAAAATATTTTATAGATTCTTGCACAACACAGTTTGATCTCCAAAACCGTGTCTCAGATTTTCCCTATTGTATTTCATTCTCTCATAAACCTTCAATGAAGTTTGCAACCTCAATTCATAAGAGATCACTAAATTTGATTGGGTATAAAATTTGTTTTATTGATGTTTTAAGAAATCTGAGACACGGTTTTGAAGATAACTGGTCAAGGAACAACATGTGTGAAAATGAGGCATATAGGGGCACCCATCTAGGAGTTAAATTCATTTAAAACTACATTTTCATGACGAAAATGAATGTGTCACAATTGAATAAATAAGAATTTTCCTAATTATACCTCATTAACTTCAAGTCAATTCACACATGTACCATGGGGATACTTCAGGATTGGCCTTTAATCATAAATCAATTAGGTGTTGACCAGTAAGAAAGCATTCCATTTCAGCAATTCTAAATATATAAAGAAAATGCACACCCTATGCATCAAAAATCAGATCTGGCGGGAGATGTTATATCATTATTGACCTTGCTGTAAGTCAGTTGCTACCGATATGGTCAAAACTCCGCCCACCATGATAAACCTTTACTATTAATGATCTGAGAAGTTTAATTACACATTGCATTTACTTTTTTCCATATGGATTTTATTCTTTTAGTACATAAAATAATATATTTTGTTTTTTGCATTGTTACAAAAAGTAAGTTATGCATATGTGTACACAAAATGATCAGTTGGTCAGTCTAGAGGATCCTTATGGGGGATTTCAAGAATTATAATTGTAAACAATGCCAATACAGTGTTTTACACAAGGTAGATTTTTTTCATTTTTTGCAGTTTGAAAATGAAATATTAAAAATGTATTTTCCTTTAAAAAGAATTCATATTTAAACATTCTCCTCAAGAAATTCAAGTATAAACATCAGCAACATTACTTGTTGTACAATTATTATATTTGTTTAATATCTGTACATTTATATTTTGATTCCCTCTACATCTCCAAATAGTTGTTTTGTTTTTTCTCCTGGCAGCTCCAATATAGAAATGTATTATTATTTGGAATTCTTTATCTTATTTTTTTCATAAATCCCTAATCCACCTCTTTTTTCATAACTGTTAATTTTATTGCGGGTCAGTGGTCATAAAGCTATCAAACATTTCTATTGATTAACCACAGAGTACTGCCCACATGTTCTTATCTTGTATCAGTCAGACACATGCATTTGTTTATAAAACTAATTATCATCAAAACTCATTAACAGTGCAAGATATATAAATATTTTTTTCTTCTGTGGTTTTGTAATATTAAGAAGTAACAAAAACAACTGAAAATGAAATTTTGATAAAATTTAGTTGCTTTTGTATTGTGCTACCTTAAAGGGAACAACGTATAATAAGTCAATGATATTTATTATGCCGTTGTATTAGCATTGGCGCATCTGATTTACATGGAGATGGTTTAGCCATGTACCTACGTCATGGTTCATTGACTTTGAATATTAGCCTAACTTGTTAACTATTGCCATTTTAATTTCAACATTTGCATAATCAAAATTACAAAAAAGCGAGACATATCTCTGTGATAACAGTTTATTTCTAGAAGTTATGCCCCTTTGAACATAGAACTTTGGCCTAAATATACTACTGCAAGTTTGTCATCTGAATCCATACAACAGAATTTCATGAAATTTTTTTAATAACAAGGACATACTATGTATATGTGCATATTCACAAGAACTTTGTATCAGTTGACTTTTGTAGGAGTTATGAGTCTTTGAGTTTGCCAAGTGACAATGTGGAGATGTGCTCACAAAGGTTCTTTAATTTCATAATAATTGTTTCACATTTTTCATGTCGGGGACATTTATAGCTGACTATATGGCATGCCCTAACACAGTATTCTGATTCCAAGCAGACCTTTACTAGTTAATGAAACATACCCAGATGAGGCAGATACATGTACCAATTTATTTTTAAAGTGTATGGTTTGAACTTGCAGGGGCTAAATCTCCTGACATCCCACAATCAAGGCAAGCATGCTACCACAAGACCACAGAGACAGTTAAAATCATACACTTTAGTATATGAATAGTTACATAACTGAATTTGTTTGATTATTAATTTTACACATGAACTTTCATAATACCCCTCTGATTTGATATTTAGCTTTTCAGAAAGTTTTCAGAATTTTGTATGATGCAGGGATGCTTGAAAAAAGAGTAATTCAGTTCAAGTGATAAAAATGAACAGAAAAAGAAAAGAAACAATACAACAACACAATAAAACCAAACCAAAAAACATGAATGACAAATCTACATGAATGACTTCATAGTCTGGTAGCTTATCTAAGCCTGTTATATTTGATGAGTTATTACTTATGTTTTATGAATACAGAGATCGAATGAGATAACTTTTACAACCAAAATATTTCATGTGTGAACCAATAATTTTTCAAGTTGTGAATTATTAGTTTATAGATATCATGTGAGTGATTACATTATACCTGTTAGTTTATAGATATCATGTGAGTGATTACACTATACCTGTTAGTTTATAGATATCATGTGAGTGATTACATTATACCGGTTAGCTTATAGATATCATGTGAGTGATTACATTATACCGGTTAGCTTATAGATATCATGTGAGTGATTACACTATACCGGTTAGCTTATAGATATCATGTGAGTGATTACACTATACCGGTTAGCTTATAGATATCATGTGAGTGATTACACTATACCGGTTAGCTTATAGATATCATGTGAGTGATTACACTATACCGGTTAGTTTATAGATATCATGTGAGTGATTACATTATACCGGTTAGCTTATAGATATCATGTGAGTGATTACACTATACCGGTTAGCTTATAGATATCATGTGAGTGATTACACTATACCGGTTAGCTTATAGATAAAAATAAAGGAATATGGTATGATTGTCAATGAGACAAGTTAAACTACCAATCAGAGACTAAATGACAAGGATGTAAACTATAGGTCACTGTATGGCCTTTAAAAATTACCAAAACCCATACTGTAAGCTATAAAAGTCTCCAGCATGGAAGAATGAGGAACAATTCAAGCTAATATTTATGCTTCATTTTTCAGAATGGGAGATAGGATCTGAGCCAGGTACAGATGATGTCTTCCCCAGAATTATGGTTGGTATCACAGAATCAAAGAAAGCCTACATCAGAGATGGAAAACTTTGGATTGATGAGACTCCACTCAATGCGTCAGTCGGAGAATTTGCTAACACAACCTGGAATAATGAGACAATGAAGGCTGCTAAAATGAACACCTTCTTCAATCTGGAGCCTGGTAAATGTGTCTATGTGACATTGTATGCTGTAGGAAGATCTCATCTGTCATCGACTGTTTACTCTAGCCCATTATGTATTAAACGTAAGTATTTTATCTATCATCTGTTGTTTTGTCTATTTCAATAAGTGTTTAAAGTATAATGTAATATAATATAATGCATCTTTAATAATATGTAAATGTTTATGGCATTTCAGCTGTCATGTATTGTTTACTTTATTCCATTATATGTATGTTTAATGTAAGTATTTTAATATTAGAGATGTTTGGAGAAGCAACAAAACTTATACATAAATTAGAATTTATATATGGTGAACCAACACCTGAAGTGGTAATCGTGCGGTTAGGTAATAGTGGGTGGATACCGAAAGGTATTCACAGTTGTCTTTCACTAGATAAGTAAATAAAATGATAATAAAGACAACAACACCCATCAATTACCGCATGGTAAGAGTTTATTCTGGTCGACATGTTTCGCCATCAAGCGTGAAGACATGTCGAACAGAATAAACTCTTACCATGCTGTAATTGATGGGTGTTGTTGTCTTTATTATCGTTTTATACTGTAATTTTTATGCAATAAGTTAAGAACATTTGAACTAATACTTTTCCAAATTTAAATATGCAGTTTTTCATGACTGAATTGAAGTCATATTTGATTTTTCAACAATTTTTAGCTCATTTGAGCAAATCTGACAATGAGTTAAAGTGTTCATTAGGACAAGATCTACCTCCCGAACTAAGATAAAAAAACATACAAGACTAACAAAAGCTACCTGGATGTTCCTGAATTAGAACATGCACAAAGATTCAGCAAGTTATACATGTTTTGCGAGATATAAACCTATCACCAATAAATTTTATACCTCTAGCTAATGTGGAATAAATAAACTCACTGATACATACAGGAAGTCTATTTAAAAAAAAATAAATGTTTGTTCTTATGTTGTGCTGTAACACCACAGTCCCATGTTATAGACAATGTTTGGATACAGTACATAAATTTTATCCCTCCTTGCACAACTCAAAATCCAATAATTTTAGTGGTTTTCATTTGTTGCTGTGTTTCATATTTGCTTTTCGTTTCTTGTTTTTAGCTCACCTTTCCTAATTGCCATGCAATACTCTCAGAATGCTGGATACTATCCACACTGGTTTGTGTCCACACTTAATAATTATACATTAAAAACTTAAAAGCAAAAGAAAAACTGTGGTGAAAAATTTAAATAAAAAACTACAGGTGAGCAATTCAGGCTCTTGAGAGCCTCTTGCTATTTTTGCCATTCAGGAGTAACGGTCCTTGATTCATTGAAAAATGGCACTTCATGTTGTTTCCATGTACTAAATTCAGAACTTTTCAACCAATTCTCCAATTTGATGTGTTGTTTTCATGACAAAATATAGATCAAGTTTGATTTTGATGATTTCAGTTTTGTCCATTTAGGAGTTATAGTCCTTTATTGATTGACTAATATAATTATTGTCTCCTTGCATCAACTGTAGAACTTTGAACCAAGTCTTTTCAAATTATGATATACTGTTTCTTATGAAAAAAAATTATATCAAGTTCAATTAAACATTTTCCACTTTTGCTGTTTAAGAGTTGTGGCCTTACAATGTTATCTTAGAATGTTGTTATGCAGTAGCTAGGTTACTCCCTCCTATGACCATCTAGAGTATGGATAAGTAACTTACATTCTATTAAACAGGCAATTAACAAATCTAAAAAAATGTGAACCATGAATATTAAAAAAAAAAAAAAAATAGAAACAAAAGAAGCTATTAGATTGTTATACAGGATAACAGTAGAATTTAATATCTTTTTGAAAGATACAAAATCTTTAACTGGCTTGATTTAATTTAATGCCTGTCTTTAAAAAAAAGTTGTAAAGGCAAAATGTTATAACCCTTAAATTGTTAACACTTGGTAAGGTCTATTATCAAAGTATAATGACCTCAGTCTGATAGAAAATGAGTTTTTTATTAGTTGTTATTGGCTTTAAACTAGCTTTCAGTATAAACTGCAAGTACTCTTAGATCGGTACTTTATGTCTTTCACCTTTTTGTTAGATAGGTATTTTTTTGTGCTTCATCTGATGAGTCAGGAGATTTTCAACTGATTTTTGTCTCGCCTTGACGGAGTCAAAAAGCGAGACATAGGTATGCTGTTTCCAGCGTATTAGTTTGTGATTAGGTCTAGTTTTAGGTGAACCACTAGTGGTTGGTCAATGATATTTGGTATGCAGTAGTATTAGCACTGGCACATCTCATTTCCATGGAGATTATTTGGCCCTGCACCCTCAGTCATGGTCTATTGACTTTGAAACTTTTGCTTAGTTTACAGGTATTAGTTTGTGATTAGGTCAGTTTATGGGGAACCACTAGTGGTAAGTCAATGATATTTGGTATGCAGTTGTATAAGCATTGGCATATCTTATTTCCATGGAGATTATTTGGCTCCGCCCCCTCAGTCATGGTCTATTGACTTTAAAACTTTTGCTTAGTTTACATGTATTAGTTTGTGATTAGGTCAGTTCAGGGGGAACCACTAGTGGTAAGTCAATGATATTTGGTATGCAATTGTATAAGCATCGGCACATCTTATTTCCATGGAGAATATTTGGTCCCGCCGCCTCAGTCATGGTCTATTGACTTTGAAACTTTTGCTTAGTTTACATGTATTAGTTTGTGATTAGATCAGTTTAAGATGAACCTCTAATGCAGATACAGTTAAGTCTGCCTCATATCTTGACTTACATCTAGAAATTGACAATGAGGGTCAATTGAAAACAAAACTTTACAACAAAAGAGATGATTTCAGCTTCCCAATTGTGAACTTTCCATTTCTATGTAGCAACATTCCAGCAGCGCCTGCATACGGAGTATATATCTCCCAATTGATACGATATTCCTGGGCTTGTATTTCCTATCATGATTTCCTTGATAGAGGATTGCTGCTCACAAGGAAGGTATTAAACCAAGAGTTCCAAATGGTGAAGTTGAAATCATCCCTTCGTAAATTTTACGGACGCCATCACGAGTTGGTTGACTGTTATGGAATAACCGTTTCACAGATGATATCGGATATGTTCCTTATGTCATAACTACAATACCCTTCCCTTTTCACGAATGTGACCTACCGAATTAGACTATTTACTGGATTTGTAATAACATAAGCAACACGACGGGTGCCACATGTGGAGCAGGATCTGCTTACCCTTCCGGAGCACCTGAGATCACCCCCAGTTTTTGGTGGGGTTCGTGTTGCTTATTCTTTAGTTTTCTATGTTGTGTCATCTCTACTATTATTTGTCTATTTGTCTCTTTATTTATGGCCATGGCGTTGTCAGTTTGTTTTCGATCTATGAGTTTAACTGTCCCTCTTTTAAGTCAGTGATATTTGGTATGCAAATTTATTGGCATTTGCAAGTCTCGTTTCCATGGAGATTATATAGCCCCACCCCCTCATCATGGTTCATTGACTTTGAAACTTTTACATAGTTTTACAAGTCAATGTTTGTGTTTAGGTTTGTTGAAAGGGAACGACTTATGATAAGTCTATGGTATTTGGTATGTAGTTGTATTAGCATTGGCACATCTCATTTCCATGGAGATTGTTTTGCCATGTACCTTCAGTCATGGTTCATTGACTTTGAATATTTGCATAACTTACATGTTAAAATATTGCTATTTTAATTTCCACATTTGCATTATCAAAGGTACAAAAAGGCGAGTCATATCTCTGTGTTAACAGTTTATTTACAGTTTGTACTTTATGATGTTGTGCTGTTACGCTACTGTCTCAGGTTAGTGGAGGGTCAATCACTCACAAACATGTGTAACCCTGCTGCATTATATATGTGCCTGTCCCTAATCAGGAGCCTGTATTTCAGTGGTTATCATTGGTTACTGTCCATCATTTCAGTTTATTATTTTGTCATGAATCATTCTGGTGGTTGTTTCTTTCAATAGTTTTACATTTTGTCATGTTGAGGCTGTTTATAGCTGTCTATTTAAGTTCTTTCCCTACCTGAGGAAAGACCTTATTGTTTTTCTAATGTTTTTTTTTCTTCCAACATTTAATTTTTTATTTTATTTTTCTGTTGGAAGTTATCATAACCAAATTTGGACCATCGATAGACCTCATCATGAAATATTACCAAATGAGGCTGTGTAGGATTTGATCATCCCCTTTAGAAGTTATCTTCCTTTTATTGTTTTTATTTCAACATGGCCCCTTTGAAATCGTAACAAATGTCAACCTACTATAAACTGCAAAAATGATCAGTATTTCAAGACCTTCAATTTGAGGTCAAGGTCATGAGGAAATTTCACCTTGACCTTCAAAGGGTACTTAACCTTGACCTTGTGACCTTTTGAAAGACCAAGTGGTCCTGAGTTGATTGGTGGTAGTCCCAAGTCTTTACATCTTTTCTCAAGTTCGGTATTGCATCATACATTTAATTATTCATTGTGCCCTTAATGAGCTATGGAATTGCCCCAATTTTTTTTTTTTTTTTTTTTTAAATGTTGTACTTTGTCTGCAGATCATTTTATTTGAGATATTTGTTGTCGTTTTAGAGGTATTGCAGATTGAAATTTTGTGAAGGGGGGAGCATATATTTCTGAATCAACAAAAGCTAGCGACCTGAAATTTTCAGAAATTGAAGAGTTTAACATGGTTTTATGTTTGACTAAATACCAAAAACATTTGATAAAAAATAAAGAAAAATAAGCAGTTTGAAAATTTCATATTTACATTGACTTTGTAAGTTTCATAGGTTCTATTTATAGAATTGATATTGCATCAATTTTTGGACTTTGCCAATTGGGGTCATGTCTCATGTGACATATGAAATTGAAAATCCAAATGAGTTTTATTCAAAAATAAAAATTTTAAACCCCCTTTCCCTTCCGAAAGAAGAGGGTTGAGTCATTAAGTGAAAAAAAAAAATTATTTCTAGGATGGTAAGGTTGTTGCATATCAAATGAAAGTCCGTAAAGCTTATATTTCAAATATCAATTTTACATCCCCAAAAAACGTATTGGGTGGGGTCATTGAGTGCAAAAAAAAATAAATTGACTTCTAAGGTAAGGTTCTCATATATCAAATGAAAGGTCATAATATGTACATTTCAAATATCAAATTCCTGTTCCCCAAAAATGAGTTGGATGGGGTTATTAAGTGCAAAAATCAAACTTTCTAGAAAATGGTGTTGTCGCATTTCAAATGAAAGGTCATCAATTCAACATTACAAACATCATACTTCTGATCTTAAAAATTTAGGTGGATAGGGTCATACAGTGCTAAAAGTGAAAAGTTTGAGAAGGTATGCTCGTCGCATATCAAATGAAAGGTCGTAAAGGGTGCATTACAAATATCAGACTTTTAAGGGAAAGACCTTTCAATTATTTTACAAACAATTGAGATAGTAGTTGGTATTGGTTTTGCTGATTGTAGGTACAGTAACCTATAGTTGCTTAAATCCATGTCATTTGGACTCTGGTGGATAGATGTCTGATTGGTAATTATACCACATCTCATTATTTTATAATGTCACAGTATTTAAATCAATATTTTCATGAAAATTTGACATGAATATTTGAATATACCGGTAAATCTTTAATAAAATCTTATTTGTTTTGTTTGTTATAGGCACAGGAGATTCTCATCTGGAACTAGGATCTCCAGACAAAAGAAAACGTAAAAGTAGCAAGCTTCATGGAGAAATAAAATTACAAGATACTACAAGCAGAGTATCTGCTGATATTATTATCAAAGGTATTGTTTGTGAGAAATATTGATTGAATTTTATTAGTTTAACACTTTGTCAGTGAATATGGACTTTATTTAATACAATTTGATACAGACTTATGAATGAGTTAAGGCTTTTTCAACTGATTTTTAAAGGCAGTGCTTTAATGCCTTTCTGGTTGCCGGGTTAATCCTTCCTTCCGCGATATCCAACTTATCTACGTGGGGGGTCATTAGGCTCCAAGTAGATCCGGAAATGTTGAATTCTCTCCTCTTCTTATTGCGATATAAAATGTTTTTTGTTTCATTTCATTTACATTGGGAAATAGAGAAACGATCATTGTGTTTTGTTAGTTTTAAAAACTTTTGATATATTAGTATTTTGCATTATAAGCAGTCAACCGATTGACAAACTAGAATTATTTGAATTCTGTGGGAAAGAGCTCGGGTTAATTTCGAGTGTTATCTGCAATCTAGATGTTTATAAATCATTTCAGTCGTTGATATAATAATTAAAGGTCGACTGAACATGAATTATATTATACAATTTGAAGCGCATTTCTGTTTATGCACGTAAACCCGTCTAACGTTATTGTTATTTCGCAGTTATGTAAAGTAGCAAATTATCGTTCCTGAATAGGTGGCGCCGTGGTAGCGGATCCTGTTCCTCAACTTCCGGTTTCTGCACAGTGCAACTATTTCAGTTATATTTTTAATTAACGATGCCAAGTACTTGTTGTTGTGTACCTGGATGTCATTTAAGAGGAGGACATGCATTTCCAAATGACTTAAAAAGAAGGAAAAGTTGGATCAACGCCATTGCCCATACACAGATTGGACCAGAACACGATGATATCGTGGAGTCCATCTCAATCAGCTGTTGTTTGCAAGGCACGTTTTACTGAAAAAGACTACGTGCAGGAAACTATTCATGGTAAAACTCTATTTTCTTTGTGAAATATATAGTTATATATGTAATCGCCATGCGAATAAACCAAAGTCTGTTTACAACCGCAATTATCGTTTTAGAATAAAAGGGGGTGGGTAATTCAAGACGTCATAATTTTTTGGATTACGATTCAATGTGATCTGTTTGAGATTTTTTGGTGATTGCTACAATTATAATGATTTCTTACAAGAGGTATATCATACTGAGAATTATTTTAGCAGTAATTATGCTAATGTAGTAATGACAGGAATGCATAAGCTATGCCTCATAGACTTTCTTGAAAAATATCAATGACAATGTTAACAGGAACAAAACAATGACATGCTCTCATCTATATTATAGTTATTTAGGTACAAACAATGTACGTTTGTTGCATAAGTCTCTCATTGTTTGTCCTTTGGATTTACATATAACATACATTGAATCAGGCAAACATAGTTTTATCCAGATTGTAATGAATAAATCTAGTTAATATTTCGCCAGGTAGTACAAAGTATACATTACTAATGGAAGTTCATTTAATTATCAAAAAACTAATGTTTTATAACCTTTTTCAGGGCGCAAACCCACCATACAGAGACTTAAGTCTACTGCCATTCCCAGCCTATTTTGCTGGACCAAGCAAGAGACTGAATCGTCCACAAAAAGAAAAATCAGGGCAGTTTCCTGTGAAAACAAAAGAACTAAACTTGATGAATATTGTAGTAGAAATCTAGAGGAAAGTTTTGATTGTAAAGTTGGTTTTCCTGAAGAAGTAATTCATACTGCAGAAAGGATTTATGACTGTCCACCACCAACTGCCGAGCTAATGTTGAGCTTCACAGATGGAATAACGCAAACACCATCAATGCCTATGTTTTCAGCAGAGAATTTTGAAATGAAGACACGTGACACAGCCATGCATTTTTATACCGGTTTAGAGTTGTATACTAAATTTTTATTTGTTTTGACCACACTTGGTCCAGCAGCACATTGTTTGAGATACATATATTTTCAAATTGATAGGGTGTCAGTTGAAAATCAGTTTTTTTATGACTTTGATGAAATTGAGGCATTATACAACCAACTTTGAACTGTCTAGATTCTAGATTGAATCTAGTGTTAAGAATATTGTGTATACATGGATTGTTTTTATGTCTAAACAGTGGTGTGAGGCTAACACTTGGCCATCTAGTGGTTTAGTCAGGAATTTTTCACCATCCAACTTCAAATTAAAGTTTCCTACGAATTGGATTATTATTGACAGCACAGAATATCCCGTGATAAAACCTAAAGCTCCTAGAGCTCAGGCAACCTTTTCATCAAATAAAAACAGAAACACTGAAAATTCTTGAATGTTCGACACCTGGTGGTTAAGTCAACTATGTCTCTATGTCACATAGAGCGAATTATTGGACTTGGCAAAACATACAAAATTCCAATAAATCCTATGAATGGAACTGAAACAAAACTTTCATCTGAAATAACATTTAGTTGTTTTATGTTGTGTCATTTTAGAACTTGTATTGTGCCAAAGGATGCATAAATAAAAGTGACGCAATGAATTTTGTTCTGATATATATACATTTACAATTACATGCACATGTAAATTGTAATGCATATAAAACATTGTAAAAATAAGGAGATGTGGTATGATATTCAGTGAGTTTATCGAACTAAAGTGCAAAAGAAATGGGTTTAAGCAGTTACAAGTGTTACTGTCACCGTACAATCTCCAACAATGAGAAAAACTCGTACCCTGTAAAAAATTTCAGAGTTTTGTTGTCTCACCTTGACTTTGGTGAATTTTTTATATCTGTTGATGTATATATAAAAAAGAAGATGTGGTATGATTGCCAATGAGACAACTCTCCACAAGAGACCAAATTACACAGAAATTAACAGCTATAGGTCACAGTACGGCCTTCAACAATGAGCAAAGCCCATACCGCACAGTCAGCTATAAAAGGCCCCGAAATGACAATGTTAAACAATTCAAACAAGAAAACTAACGGCCTAATTTATGTACAAAAAATGAACAAATATAACAAATATGCAACACATAAACAAACGACAACCACTGAATTACACTTTTACAGGCTCCTGACTTGGGACAGGCACATACATGTACATACAGAATGTGGCGGGCTTAAACATGTTAGTGGGATCCCAACCCTCCCCTAACCTGGGACAGTGGTGTAACAGTACAATATAAGAAAGAACTATAAAAATCAGTTGAAAGAGGCTTAACTCATCAGATGGATAAATACAAATACAAGTGGACGTGGTCGGGTAGTTGTACATCCAAACAACAAAAAGACATCAAGTACAGATCTGAGAGTACTCACAGTTACTGACAGCTAGTTCAAAGCCACTAACAACTGATAAAAAAATCTTGCATCTAAGACTAAATTATCAATCCGTAAGCTCCCTTTAGAATTTTATAAATTTTAGATTTTACATTTCTGAGTTATGGGGTTTTATTCATTAAAAAAGGGGGGATTTTCCAGTTTTTGGACAACAACTCAAAAATGCTTTAAGCAGTTCACATGAAACTTTGGTGAATTATTTATAGCTATTGATGTAATCTCCTTATTGATTTTCATAAATTTCAAATATGACATTGAGAAGAAATTGAACTTTATTTGTTTATAGTCTGGCAACAGATTTATTAAGTATTGCGCAACAGCACAGTGTATTGCACAACAGCAAGAAATCTTTAATTGAATATAAATTCAATTCATATAACCGATTTCAAGTTCATTGACTACATTTATTCAGAAACTATAATATGTCAAATATTTAATTACAATCCAAATTCAGACCTGTATCAAGCTTGAATATTGTGTCCATTTTTGCTCCAACTGTTCAGGGTTGGACCTCTGCGGGTGTATCCAGCTGTGCTCAGCGAATCAGTTTATTTCTTAATTAAGAACTCCTTTTTTCATTCATAAATTACTTTATGCTTGGAAATATAATTTTGCTTGGAGTTGAAAGAGTTGACATGTTGCAATGTACATTTATTCTACATAGTTCTATGGTACCAAATCAAAAGTTTATATAAAAGAAAGAAGTCAAAGGTTTCCCATCATAGTTTAGTTACATACATCTTTTTTGTACCTGAGGTCGTTGAATATAGATCATTATATAAATAAGGAGATGTGTTATGATTGCCAATGAAAAAACTAAGGATTTTCTTATCCAAGGAATAGATTACCTTAGCCATATTTGGCACAACTTTTTGGAATTTTGGGTCCTCAATGCTCTTCAACTTTGTACTTGTTTGGCTTTATTGCTATTTTGATCTGAACGTCACTGATGAGTCTTATCACTACAAACCAGTAAAAGTCTGAAATGGCCTATATCTGTACTCGACTGTACTGATTTTTACTCGACCAGTCTGAATTGGTCTGAAATTTACTTGATAATACTCGACTGTAGTCTGAACCATACTTAACAGTCTGAACTTGTACTCGACCCTTACTCGACCAGTACTTAACCATTTTATACGCGTCTGAACCATGCTCGACGTAGTCTGAACCATGCTCGACCTAGTCTGAACCATACTCGACCTAGTCTGAACCATACTCGACCAAGTCTTAACCAACCTAGACCAATTTTTTGTATCTACCTATTTTATTTCATCAATTTAGGAACTGTTTTTAACAACAGCTATTTCCCCTGGCTAGAAATTTGAACAACAATTTGAAATTAAAAATGTATTCAATATAGCATTGAAACCAAAATTTCACAATATACATAATATAACTTCATCACCATATTCATCAACACTTATATACATACATATATATCTCCTTTAGAATAAAAATAAAACAAGCTGATCAAATAATCTCAAAACTGAATTGTGACTAATATTTTCAATGTTATTCAAAATTTTTTGAATTTTTCAGATATATTTTATGGTTACTGGACAATTTTCACCATTAACTTAAGCCTCGTATAGATTTATGGTGTCAGTTGAGTTTAGTTAATAATGCAGTGAACATTTTTTTTTTATCAAAATATATATAAAATAGCATATAAAGCAACTTAATAAATTAAAAAAATGACACCTTTGTTTTGTTAAACCAAGAATTTAATATAATCATGATAATAGAACTTCCATAGTAATCCTGTGATAAACTTTTAAAAAAGGAAATGTGTTCCAAAGTTACAGTAAACAATTATTTCAATTAAATTTAAATAATTTTTGTCAAAATTAAAGACATGGCATACAAGAAGCACTTTAATAAGGTTTAATTACCTCAGTACATGTGTGTTTTACAGGTAAAAAGAAAGCCCTATTTTTCTTAAACTCGTGTATTACTTATCTAGTGAATTCAAAAGGCCTTGCGATTTAAGTTTCACAGGATGTTGCAATTTTGAATGAATGTTATTTAGATTTTAATACCCTCTGACCAGGTGTGATCTTTTTCATGAGTTTGCCCCAAGCAGGAGGTATTACTTTATACTTCACCACTAATCAGAAGAACAATTTTATTAATTTCTTTAATTTTTATCCCTTTTTGATATATATTGTATATAATATATCCCAAATTATAATAATAGATATATTTCTAAAATAAGGTTAAACAATTTCAGTGATTTTGTTGGCTGTTGTTACCTCATTAAAAAGATAATTATATAACTATTTTACATTTTTTGTATGTAACCATGAAACCTATGTAGTTTTTATTTAGGAATTTAGGAAAATTAATTTAAAAAAAACACATGCCAAACAAGAAGCACCTTAATAAGGGTTAATTACCCTCAGTATAGGTGTGGTTTTTATGTAAAAGAAAATCTTTTTTTAACAAAACTCTAAAACTTTAAAATTAATATAATTAAATCATTATATAAGATAATTTTGTTTAACTATCTCTATTCGATAAATTTGAGAATCATGTAAGAATGTAAAAATCTGTGTTTTTATAATATATCTTTATTTTATTGTGGCTGTTGTCATGTCAGTTAAAAAGAAATTTATTTTAACAGTTAGAATTTAGAAAAAGTAGAGGTTATTTGGTCAAGTATGCTTCAGACTGGTCGAGTATTGTTCAGACCTTTGGTCGAGTATGGTTGAGACTGAAAAAAATAGGTCGAGTACAGGTCGAGAATGGGTTAAGACTGTTTCAGACTGGTCGAGTAATAGTTCAGACTATTTTTAATGGCAAAGATAAGGGTCAAGTACAAATCAGTACAGTCGAGTATGGTTAAGACTGGGGTCGAGTAATGTCGAGTAAAATTCAGACCAATTCAGACTGGTCGAGTAAAAATCAGTACAGTCGAGTACAGATATAGGCCATTTCAGACTTTTACTGGTTTGTAGTGTATGTAGACGAAACACGCGTCTGGCGTATTAAATTATAATCCTGGTACCTTTGATAACTAATTTGACTATAAACATAGATAAAAAAGGTACAAACTGGACATAATGCACTAGTTCATAAACAAGTGAGAACAATCGCCTTCATATAGTGCTCAGAATATGACATTCATAAAACTTGTTCAATATCATTAGAGAACTCTAAATCTTAAATACTGAAAGCCACCTCTGATAAGTACACTGTACTATGCAAGATAATGATATAACTGGACTAAAAATACACACAACCTGTAATTAACTGCCTTTACAGCGCTTTCGCGCTTTGATTATAGTTTGTTCTTATGTTGTGCTGTTACACCACTGTCCCAGGTCAGGGGGAGGGTTTGGTGCTCACAAACATGTTTAACCCCGTCACATTCTTTATGTGCCTGTCCCAAGTCAGGAGCCTGTAGTTCAGTGGTTGTCATTGGTTCATGTCTGTCATATTTGTTTTTCATTGATGGTTTTGTTAAAAGTTAGGTCGTTATTTTTTCTCAAATAGTTTCATAGTTTTCATGTCAGGGCCTTTTAAAGCCGACTATACGGTATGGGTTTTTATACGACCGCAAAAAAAATTTTGTGGTCGTATATTGGTATGACGTTGGCGTCGTCGTCGTCGTTGTCATCTTCGTCCTGCGTCGTCCGAAGACACATTGGTTTTCACACTCTAACTTTAGTTTAAGTGAATGGATCTCTATGAAATTTTACCACAAGGTTCAATACCACAAAAGGAAGGTTGGGATTGATTTTGGGGGTTATGGTACCAACAGTAAAGGAATTAGGGGCCAAAAATAAGCATTTTTGTAACTTCCAGACATAACTTGTGTGTTAGTGTATGGATCTCTCTGACATTGTACCACAAGGTTCCATATCACAAAAGGAATGCTGGGATTGATTTTGGGGGTAATTGCCTCAAAATTTTAGGAATTAGGGGCCAAAAAAGGGGCAAAAAACAAGCATTTTTCTAGTTTCATGACAATAACTTGTGTGTAAGTGTATGGATCTTTCTGAAATTGTACTACAAGGTTCCATATCACAAAGGGAAAGCTGGAATTGAGTTTGGGGGTAATTGCCGAAACGTTTAGGAACTGGGGGCCAAAAAGGGGCAAAAAACAAGCATTTTTCTAGTTTCCAGACAATAACTTGTGTTCAAGTGTATGGATCTCTCTGAAATTGTACTGCAAGGTACCATACCACAAAGGGAAGGCTGGGATTGAGTTTGGGGGTGATGAATCTTAAGGGGGTTCAAAAAATTTTGGGGGGGGGGATGTTTTTTCCCCTTTTTTTCCTTTTTTTTTTTCTTTTAAAATTTTCCATTTTAAGTTGGTTATTTCTGATTTATATTTAAAAGCAAATAATAATGATATGGTAGGAGATACACACCAAACAGGATGTGTAAATTATTATATAATAAGTATTGTGCAATAGCAAGAAATTTTCAATTGCACAGTATTGCACAATAGCAAGAAATCTTCAATTGCACAGTATTGCGCAATAGCAAGAAATCTTCAATTGCACAGTATTGCGCAATAGCAAGAAATATCCAATAGCACAATATTGCGCAATTGTCAATTGTACAGTATTGCGCAATAGGAAGAAATATTTAATTGCACAGTATTGTGCAAAAGAAGATACTTCGTATAAATTGCTTATTTCTTGACCAATTTCAATGGGGTTTTATTCTTGAATTCTTGGGGTTCCTTAATATGCTGAATCTAACCGTGTATTTAGTTTTTGGATTTTGGGCCCCGTTTTTAAATTGGTCCACATTGAGGTCCAAAGGGTCCAAAATTGAATTATTGGGGTTCTTTGATATGCCGAATCTAACCGTGTATTTAGATTCTTAATTTTTGGTTCCATTTTCAAATTGGTCTACATTAAGGTCCAAAGGGTCCAAAATTAAACTTAGTTTGATTTTAACAAAAATTGAATTCTTAGGGTTCTTTGATATGCTGAATCTAAACATGTATTTAGATTTTTGATTAATTGCTTACATCCACTTTATTCTAACTTTGGTGGATAGTTGTCTCATTGGCAATTATACCTCATCTCCTTATTTTTATATTATGAACATTGTGAAGAGTGTATTTTAAGAATTGTATTGTACTTGTTGGTTTTTTAGTTCAAGAGACATACCTTCTCATAACTTGAAAAATCAATAGGATTCTGATATTTAATTGTAAAATCAATACTAAGGTCATCAAAAAGAGAGAGGAGGTGGGAGATACAACAGGGATATTTACACTCATAAGTTGAAGACAAACTGACAGCATTATGGCAAAAAACAAAAAGATAGACATTAGTCTATAAAACACAACATAAAAAGCTAACGACTGAACCCATAGTCCTTTACTAACCTCAAACTCCTAATTATGGGCACAGGTTTCACTACTGGCTTTTATATATAATGTACAACTCACCTGGAGAATGGGATTCCATTTTATAGTATTTTTCGTATAGCCACTTCTTTGTTTTGTTTAAATTTAAAAGAATTATATATCTTTTTAGGTTTAAATGTGACCATCTCGGCGGGAATATTAAATAAGACAGATGTGACAGCTGACTATGGAACTGCAGCCTCTGCTAAATATACTAGATATCTTATAGATCCTCATACTAGACAGAATGATACATCTAGATTTCTTAGAAATAGGTTAGTTAAATGGTAAAAATAGGTTAGTTTTTAATATGGTAAATTATATACATGCTTATTCAAGCTGTATTGAATTGTTAGTATCTTTTTATTATTTGGTGAAAATATCATTGATATTCCAAAAATCATTGTTTTTCAGATTCATGGTAATTATATAGGTAAAATCTGCAATACTTTATCAGAGTTCAATTGAGAGTAAAACAATCAGAAACACTGATGAATACAAGAGCATTGATTTTGATAAAATGTCATCAATAGTCAAATTGTCTGTTTTTTCTGAATAAATCTTTCAGAAATTTGATATGAATGCTAAAAATGGTGCACATTTTGCATATTTTGGATAAAGTGTCATCTAGCTTTTGGGAATTTTTTTTTATCTTGCATGTTAATACAAATGAAACAACTTTTCTTTTAGTATTGGCTGCATGGTGCTGATTTTGCTTTTTAAAAGAAATGGACTTGTGCTATACAAATGTATCATGCTGATTTCTTTAATATGAAATGTTAATCAAACATCTGTACAAACATAGACATATAACCAGTCATATCTAACAATGTTATCTTCCTGCATATATTTATCATTGAACCATTTGCCTACTTTTCAGTATTTTGGAAATTAATTATCCGTCTATATATAGGTTCTCTGATTGAAATTAAGTATCTAACTCTAAGGAGAAGTAGCCTTATTATAAAAAAAAATTAACAATTAAAATAAATTCTGAGGTCACCTTCCACCTCTCTGTGACAAATGAATAAAGCAAAGTCTTTATGATATTGCTTAAATGTTTAATACATTTTAATAATACACCATGGTGTGAGTTTGAATGGTCAATTAATTCAGTCTTATTTGTCATCTCTATAGTTACTTATTTGTGTGTTTTTATGCCTCCGCCGTAGGTAATTGGGGCATTAAGTGTTACCCTTGACTGTCTGTCTTTCTGTCCTTTCCTCCGTCTGTCTTTTTGTCTGTCCCTCCCATTTTCGTTTCTGCACTCTAACTTAAGTTTCCTCATCCAAATTTTATAAAACTCATATGCAATACTAAGAACTAAAATTGCAGACAGAGTTTGAATTTGGGCAGTGAGTCATTTACCGTTCTAGAGTTATGCCCATTTATAACTTGGAAAATTGCAAATTTTTTCATTTTCGCACTCTTACTTGAGTTTGCCTCATGCAAATTTTATGAAACTCATACACAAAGCTAAGAACCACAACAAGCAGAGAGAGTTTGAATTTGGGCAGTGAGTCATTTACCGTTATGCCACTTTCTAAAGTTCCAAATAAAAGCAATATGTCATAATAGCTGTTTTTAGTCCCCTACCGACGAAGTCGAAGGGGAATTTAGGTTTGCACTCTGTCCGTCTGTCTGTCTGTCTATCTTTCCGTCTGTCCATCCGTCAGTCCGGCAAATCAGCTTTCCAAACTTTTTTATGCCCCCTTCTTGAAGATATTGATTTGATATTTGGTATATAGTTTTATCATTACAAGTTATAGATCAAGTTTGAATTTTGTTCCGGTCTGATGATTGAGTCCAGAGTTATGGACCATATCTAATGTTAGAGTACTATGTTAAACCATATTTCTGTACAAAGGGAGATAACTCATTTTTTAAAAGGCATTCTTTGTTAAATTATTTGAAGAATTTTTTGGCAGGTTTGTTTGTTATTTAGTATAAACTAACTTTCTGAATGCTATAGATAAAAAAAAAAATTATGATAATAATCTATTTTTATTAATGTATATATTTCAATACATTACATTGTGTAGATAAAAGTTGTTGACATTTTATAGATAAGTTACAAATCTATATTAGTTTGTAACAAATGAAAAAAAAAATATTTGGAACTATTAATTATATTTGATTATAATTTGAAAATAGACATACACTGTATTACATCATATCTAATTTTAGAGAACTATTAATTATATCTAATGTTTTTTTCACTCATATAATCAGTTTTCCACACTGTTTTTAGTCATGCTTGAAGATATTGACATGATATTTACTTTTTGTTTGCACCATGACAAGTTATAGAACAAGTTAGCATTTTGTTCCAGTAAAATGAATTTTTACCCGGTAGGGGACTATGTATTGCCATGCAATACTCTCAGAATGCTTGTTTAATTCCAGACTGAAGCAGTATGCTGGATTGATGTTTTACTTATCACCATCAAGTTCAGTAGAAAGCTTGACAGAAATCAGTATCAGTGTAACGTTTGACAGCAGTTTATTTGATACAAACACAGAAGTTCCTGTCCTGGTTTATTGGGATAATTGTAAGTTATATTTATATACATTTTATGTTTGACATGGAAAGAGTTTGGATACTTATGAAATACTTGGCAGTGGACATCAAGCAAACAACAATTAAGTTAGCAACTCAAAAAATTTAGAAGTGGAAAAATTAGGGCTTGTGCATATTTTTCGGTATAAAATATATAAACCTTGGTACACATATATCCTCCGGCATAATTACTGTGTGTTTGAACAAATTCAAAGTTATTCTTAGAAAATAAAAATAATGCGTATAATGATAGTCTAAAGATGAATAAATTTACTCCGGCCATTGACATCTAGTGTCACACAAATCAGAAACGCCTCCACAAAAATAACATCCATTGCAGGCAGCTGCACAATCTAATCGAAAAATCCAATTTAATTGGGATATATTTCCATTGCAGTTTTTTATATTTCTTGCCACATAACGAATTTCAGCTTTGGACAGAAGATACCAGCTTGGGATTTTCAAAATGTTTCTAATTTTCTGGTCTGCACGATTGTAATCACGTTCACTCATATTTAAACATAGAGTTAGCAATAAATATAGAATTAAATCCTTGTATTATAATCCATTATTCACACAAAAACGATGTGTATAAAAATAGAAATTTTTTCTGCCAAAAACTGAAAATGTAAATTTGAAAGTGAATAATTGCGCTTTTGATAAAACAAGAGCCACTTATTAGTGCCCTGATTGGATAATTCAAATAAATACTGGGTACTGATTGGCTAATGTCTTAGTAACCTAAATAGCAACTTAATTTATTAGTAAGGGCTGCAGATACTGGGAAAAACTCAATCTGATTGGTTAAATGCAATTGTATCTCTTAGCAACATATTAGATCAAGTTCCCCCTATATTAATACTTCATTTAAATAAAATGAACACGATATGAAACCATTGATTTATTCCTTTGAGATTATTAAGATCTTTTGATATACTTAAAAGATATTTCATATGATTTGGGAGAATACAATATTATTTCCCTTTTTATGCCCCTGCGGTAGGAAATGGGGGCATTAAGTGTTACCCTTGACCGTCCGTCCGTCCGTCTGTCCTATTTTCATTTCCGCACTCTAACTTATGTTTGCCTCATGCAAATTTTATGAAACTCATACACAATGTTAAGAATAAAAACTTACAGACACTCAGAGTTCGAATTTGGTAAGCGAGTCACTTACCGATCTAGAGTAATGCCCCTTTTTAACTTAGAAAATTGCAAAGCTTGAGGGAGGGGCATTCTTGTCCTCATACACATTCTTCTTTAAGACTTTATATTTTGTATATTTAATAGTTGACGAATTATGGAAGCACCCTACTGACACATGTAATGATGTAGAAGATAACACAGACTTTGTCAACAAAATGTTCACTACACAGGTAAGTAGATGTTCTATATAACTATGTATATCTCTATCTTGATATTTGATTTTCTTACAAGCTAAATCACGCAGACTACAAATGTAATGCATTGCCTTAAAAACACAAAATCATTTTATTTCATAATTTTTTTAAACTGTATTCTTTATTAATGAAATCCAGCATTTCTGTCAAAATTCTCAGTGGAATACTGTGGATTCATTTATTTTCATGGGTATCTTTTTTTGTGGAGTGAGGAAAGCTTGCATTTTCGTGAATATTTGATTTCAGGAATTTGCCAATCTCTGCATACAAAGCCTATATAAAATTTGTAATTCATTGAAAATTTGTATTCATGGTTCACCTGTACCCATGAAACCACGAAAATTGGTATCCAACAAATAATAATGAATCTCCAGTAGATTAGAAGAACTTGATTTGTCTTCTCTAAACAGGTTTTTTCTTCTTATTAATGTAGGCATGTAAAGAAGTATTCTCAAAGACAACAACTGGACCTTCAACAAGAAAGAAAAGATCGGTACCCAGCAGTATACCATTACCTAGAATGTGGTCATTAATGGTGATGTCGAGGAGAGCACCAAACACACCACCTCACATCACTACATCAGAACTATTTGTTAGTGAAGACATGGATGACATCCAGGACAAGAATGGACAGAGAGTAATACAGTATGAAGACAATGAATCAGATGATGTTGAATTCACAATTCTTCAGCCACCATTCCATGGACATGCCAACATGACACCGGATGGGACACTTTATTATCTTCCAGATAGTAATTATAATGGAGTAGACTTTATCATTGTAAAAGTAGTAGAAACAGGACTAGTGCCACCATTCCATCCGCTATCTGCTACCAGAAATATAACAATTAACATTGCTCCTATAAATGATGCTCCAGTGCTTATGCCGTTTGAATCAGATTTAAAATTTGAAGAAGTAGAAATTCCTGGCAAGGGTTTGAAATCAGTTCAAATTTTATTGGATGGAAATGTTACAAAGAAGTATGAATTGGGACATGTGACTTTCTTGGACGTTGATTTTGTCGATCCTTCAATTAATGAAATAAACTACACAATGAGAATAAACAATACTATACTCACCAATTTTTCCTTTGAACCAGTCCAGTTTCATGGCTTACTTAAAAAGAAATTAAAGCTGAGTTTTTCAGTTGACAAAACATTTTGTGGAAGAACAGTTTTTACAGCCAGAGGTTATGATCAAGCCAGATACACAACCAAAAATATAGAGGTCAATGTTTACATCTTAATTGCACCGTGTGTCCATGGCAACTGCCATAATAAAACATCGACTGAATGTAATGACATTGAACGAGCTTCCAGTTTTGAGAAATATTCTTGTAGATGTAACCGTGGATATACTGATGAGTGGTGTCAGACAGATATTAACGAGTGTGATCCTAATCCCTGTTCTGTGTTCTATGATTGTGAGGATTTGATTGGGTACCAGAAATGTAACTTGAATGTTGTCAAGACGATCTTGTTGACTCTTGCAGTTTTACTGACTCTGGTTATGTGTTTCATGTTAATCAGACGATACTACAAGAAGAAAAGACCCAACAAAATAGATCCTGGATCAAATACATGGTATGTTTTAGTCTGTAAGAGATATTGAGTTCAGGTCTGCAGGTTCCAAAAGGACAGGTAAATGAGGTGCCATCACATGTGTTAGAACTGTTATTGTCATTATTATGAGACAAAAGTAATGTGGCTGCAAGAGGAAATTTCTAATCTACCCTAAAACTATAATTCATGAACCACCATTTTTATTAAGAGGAGTACATAGAAGTTGTCCACTTATGGTTTTTGATGTTGTTGCCTCCCTTTTTTAAATATGATAACATATATTTGTTTGAAAAGTCAGGCCCTTTGTCTTTCAAACTTAAACTGATTTTTAGGAGATGTTTCTTGCTTGGAACATGGTCTACCTCACAGCCTCTCTCTCATCTTTATAAATATTGTTTTATTATTCATTCAAATATGAGAAAAGTACACTCAAAATTTAATTCAGAAGCAAGTGTAAATAATGGTAAATCAATAAAGGTGTAATACCACCATTGATTTTCCACTATTAGTCTTTGTTAAATTTGCACTTTTCAAAAAATTGTGCAGAATTTATCTTTGTTTCAAATAAAGAAATACTTGGCATGAGTAAAGTTTTATCCTGTCCAGTACTATAGAAAAAAATTCACATAACATTTCATTGCATATAAGAAAATAACCATCACTGGAAGTTAACCAATCAAATTTTCCCCCTTTTTTAACCTGTGTACAAGCTTTAGTAACCATGTAACCTCAAGTTTCCAAAATATTCTATAGAAACCCCAAATAAAAAAATAATGGTGCTTTGAAATACCCAAGATATATGTTTATGACCCAGAAATGTTTTACTGCAATGAAATGTAGGATCAATTACCTACAACTGTCAAATTCAAGGGAATATTTTTTTTCGACCTATTTTCGTATGCAACCGGATGTGACTTACTATGATTTGGTGGTATTACACCTAAAGAAGACTTTTTTGTTAAATAAACTGAATGTGACTTTTTTCCTTTGTAATACTGGTTATTTCAAGCATTCCTGTCAAGTTTTGTCATAATCAGTTCAATAGTTTGAGAAAAATCTAGTATAATGTAAGACGACATCTACAGCGATTCGAGCAAAATTTCTTCGAAAAAATCCAAACCAAGCCACATCATGATAGAATATAGTGTGGACCAATAAATGATCAAATATTTATCTCATCTGCCTACAAACAGTTGAATGTGATACAAGAGATGACTTTAGGATGATAAATACTACTAATGGACCTCTTTGTCTTCCTTATAAGGTCTCTTTTGGTCCATTTATACCTCTCATTTCCTCAAAATTTCTACTTTTTAGGCTAATAAATAAAAAATTGGGGGTAACTTTCATTCATTTATGATAGAAATGTTATAATAAATGATTAATTGAAGTAATCAAGCTGAATGAACTATCCGTATAAAAGTTTACTGTCTCCAAGGAGGTTTCAATAAGTCCTTACGTAAAACTTAAATTTACGCCGCATTCCAGAGAGGGACATAAAAAGCTTCTCTTTTGGTGAATAATTTGTTGTTACTGCTTTAAAAATAATTTCATTTATTTCAAACTATATATTTGTTAAAGTATTTCTTGGGAAAAATTTTCTAGTATAGCAGAATATAAGAAATAAGGAGAAAAAGCTCTCCAAAACTCAAAGTATGGCTTGTTCTGTCAACTAATATTCATGGTAAAGTCCTATTTCAAGGAAATTTTCTCATAAAATGTGTTTTGGAGACTCAATCCACTCAGAATATTTCATTATTTGTATTATTTCACTTAAATAGCAAGAAATTTTAACACATGAGAGTACTCACAAGGTCAAAAGTGCATGTACAGCTTCCAATATTAGGTGTAATACCACCATTGATTTTCCACTATTAGTCTTTGTTAAATTTGCACTTTTCAAAAAATTGTGCAGAATTTATCTTTGTTTCAAATAAAGAAATACTTGGCATGAGTAAAGTTTTATCCTGTCCAGTACTATAGAAAAAAATTCACATAACATTTCATTGCATATAAGAAAATAACCATCACTGGAAGTTAACCAATCAAATTTTCCCCCTTTTTTAACCTGTGTACAAGCTTTAGTAACCATGTAACCTCAAGTTTCCAAAATATTCTATAGAAACCCCAAATAAAAAAATAATGGTGCTTTGAAATACCCAAGATATATGTTTATGACCCAGAAATGTTTTACTGCAATGAAATGTAGGATCAATTACCTACAACTGTCAAATTCAAGGGAATATTTTTTTTCGACCTATTTTCGTATGCAACCGGATGTGACTTACTATGATTTGGTGGTATTACACCTAAATACAGAAGTTAATTCACATGCTTAAACGAAAATGGTATCAAAATTAAAGGTCAAGAAAGCAAATGCATAGATTAAGAAAATGCATAGTGTTTTTTAGTTGTCACACAGGCATCTGAGATACCTCACTTTGCAATAACTTTGTTTCATAATTCTAATTTATTTTCAGGAGTTTTGGAAGTGAGGTCCTTGGTCAGAAGAAAGGAAGATTTATTAGACCATCATCAGCATGTTCAACTGAAGACCTTATCCCCTCACCTATTGTTAAAGATATTAATGTGGGTATTGGTAGAGAACTTATTCCCCCATGTACAGGTGAAAATAGTAATGTTGGCATTGGTAGGGATCATATTCCCCCATGTACAGTTAGAGAAATTAATGTTGGCATTGGTGAATCATTTGATGAGAAAGCAGGCATCAACACAAAAAACAGCCCTGATACTGCAGACAGAATTTTGTTGATGCCTGAGAAAACCATAGACAGATTTACCAAAACACTGGAACCTATTTCTGTATTGACTTCAACAATTGGTCAAAAGTCACCACACCACAAGCCGTTAATAATGAAGAATGGTGAAAAAGATAGGGACACACAACCAAACTATGGATTTTCCAGATATCTTGTTGACAGCAGTCGTAAGAAATATGGGCAATTGGATATGCTTCCACCTCTTAAAGCTCCTTCAAATATGCAAACCAAGAGTGACCAAGCTACAGAAATCAGTTTCATGAAGGGAGACAAGGAACCGTCAGATGGTATCTAATCGCTGAAAACTGACATAAAGCTAAAAAAATATTCAAATAGGAAAGATACAGAAACTTGTAATGTTTGTCCCATTTATTATTTTCATAAAGAAATAAAGTAGATTTAGATGCATTACATAGATATCATTTATTAAAACATTTGATTAATTCATTTTTAACCGAATTTTCGAAAGGAAAAAAAACAGTTATTGATTTGGGGATGTATGGTGGGCAGGTGGACGGTATAGGCGGCTACCAAACAGGGTCCGTTCATTTACATGAAAACCCTTTGACAAAATATTTTCAAATTTAGACAATTATGTTATTTCCTGTGACTAAATGAAGGTCAAGTTCAATTTTCACGATTTTGGCTTTTCTCGTTTTTGAGTTATAGCCCTTTCCAAAGAAGTACTTCTTAATTACTGCATTTCTGTTCAAAGGGAAATAACTCATTTTTTAAAAGATTTTTAAAACACATTGTATTAATGATGAATTACATTTTGGATTTTTTTTCTTTTCTATGGTAAATTGTTTGAAGAATTTTGTGGTAGGTTTGTTTGTTATTTTGTATAAACTAATTTTCTGAATGCTATATATATAATTTTTTTTTTTGAAGGGAACTCCTTTAATTAGATAATAATCTATTTTTATTAAAGGATATATTACTTTGTGTAGATAAAGCTGTTGACATTGATAGATAAGTTGCAGATCTATATTAATTTTTGACAAATGAAAGAAAAAATATTTGGAACTTTTAATTATATTTCTTTATAATTTGAAAATAGATATACAATGTGTAACATCATACATGTCATATCTAATTTTAGAGAACTATTTTTAGTGGTTATATCATATCTAATTTTAGAGAACTCTTTTTGCTTTATTATTTCTGATCAAAGGGAAATAACTCAAATCTTATTTCCATGAACCAGTAATGCTAACATATAGTATATGGATTCTGTTCAATTGATTTTAGTGATTAGTTGTCAAAAATTTCTTTATAACTACTTTTGTTAAGTCGGGTGTGTTATGAAGGTAGATGTCACAGTTGTTATGTGGTATTTTATTTTTGTTGTGTGTGTCCATGTTTAATTTTTACATGCAAATGTCATTATCATTATTAATAAAATAATAATCTATTTTAAATATTCAATCACAATCTAAATTCAGAGCTGTTTTAAACTTAAATATTGTGTCCATACTGCTCAACTGTTCAGGGTTCAACCTCTGCAGGAAAATCTAGTTTGCTGTCACTCTAACAGCCTCTTGTACCCCATGACCTAATTAAATTTGTTTATCATCTCTTGGAATGTTTTCAAAACAGGAACATTAACCATGCCAAGGGCATTACTGAGTTATATTTATTTACTGAAACAAGATTTTTATAGATGTTGTTGATAAAGTTTTGATTTGGTAACTTTGACCGTTATGATGCATATATCATTAAAATTACGAATCTACTGAACCAGATGTGCATTTGGTTATTCAATGTCTCTTCAGTGATGCTTTAGATTGAAATATTTTAAAACCTAAAACTTAATGCAAATGCTGAAGAGCTGATAAAACCAAATAGGACTTTAAGTACAGCCAAATCTTGACAATGAACATAGGAACAGCTAAGGGCATTGTTAAAGTCTGTTCTCTGATTGTACGAATAGACAATAATAGTGCATTGACTTGACATATCAACAATATAAGGATGAGGCTTAGAAACGGGGAAATGCGAGGCTATCGTTGATATGTCAAGTCAATGCACTATTATTGTCTTTTACTGCTATCTAGAAAAACATTTTCAGTTGTTGTTTAATGTGCTAATATTATTTATTTGATTTAGATATTGGGGAAAATCCCCCTCTAAAAAGGCCTCATATCAGGCAGAGAAATATACAACACAATGAAATGTACATGCTACCTGTTCAAACCCGCAATCGATGGTGAACGAATTTGTTCGAGTATGGACTAAAATATCAACAATAAGCATAAAACATAATGATTTATAGGTTTCAAACAAAATATTAACAAGTGAAATATGTTTTTCCAAAAATTGTAAAAGAAATAAGTTTGATTCGTTCCAAGCTTCGTTGTATACATTGGAAACAGGAATAGGTTGAAGAGGTCGTATGAATAATTAAATATAGTTTCAGCAACTTCTATTTAAATATTCATTAGGAAAAGTGATATCGGGTCAGTGACTGTATATGACATAGAAATATACAGTCAACACATTTTGACTGCTCAAATAGAACGAGTGCAGTATAAAAAGATTTCATTGTCAATGTTCAAACATAATATAGAAATAAAAAAATCTGGTATGATTGCCAATGAGTTAGTTCTCTACCAGAGACCGAATGGCATAGAAATTAACAACTATATGTCACTGTAGGACCTTGAACAATGAGCAAAACCCATACCGCATTTACAGCTATAAAAGGGTCCAAAATGACAAATATAAAACAATTCAAATGAGAAAACTAATGGCCTGATTTATGAACCAAACAATAAACGAAAAACAAATAAGATATACAGCAACAAACGACAACCACTGAATTTCAGGCTCCTGACTTAGGACAGGCACATACAGAATGTGGCGGGGTTTAACTAGTTTGCTGACGCTACCCCCTCTAAACCTGTGATAGTAACAGTTTTCCTACCTCCTATCATTTCATTGGTTCTCTGGCTTCCTCAATCATTTAAACTAACTGCCACGAAATAGCACAATAAATGCTGAAAGTGGTGTGAAACACCAATCAATCAATTAAACAACATGCAAATAATTCTTAACAAAGATGTCAATTATAAGTAAAAGAAAGTTAAACAAAATGAACTCGACACTGTAAAAACTTATATCATCGGAATAGCACCTCTTGACCCACCTGCACTAGGACCGTCTAAAGCCGCAAAGCTGGATGCATAAATACTGAGTCCTGTCAAGAGTCATACGACCAAAAGGGACATAATAGCACCGAGACAAATAAAGGAAAACTGTAAAGTAAATAAAAAGATACACAATTCAGCACCTCCCTTACTGAAACATCAGCCTTCTGGCGAACTTGCGGCAGATTTGCCACAAACACTGCGGTAAAGTTGCGGTAAATCGTTTGCAGCAACTTCACAGCGACTGATTACCATGCAAATGAAGGTTGCGGCAGACTTTCCGCAAAGTTTGATAGCCTTTTTTAGTTTGAGGCAAATTTCTGGCGACTATATTTGTGGTGAACCTCTGGCGAACTTAGATAGCCTTATATAGTTTCTGGAGAACTTCTTGTGACTTTTTGTGTTGAACTTCCCGCAAACTTTAATAGCCTTATATAGTGTGTGGTGATCTTGCGGCAAATCAAATATGCTAATGATGCCTTGTGGCAACCTTTCTGTTACTTCTTTTTCAAACTGTACGTCTCATTCAAAACATGCATATAGGGATCAAAATTTAAATTGTATTAATTATTATGACCAATAATTTTATTTACTTGCTGATCAAAATTTCATTTTACAGAAAGAGAGAAATATAAATTGTGACCACATAAAAAAACCCAACAGAAAACTAAATATATACATTTTAGAGGTACATGTATATCTATCAATTTACTCCGTGCAGAATTAATTCAGAATGAGCTGATTAATTTCTTAACAAATTCATATGTTTGAGAAATGTAAACTCCATACCGAGGTGAAGTTGGTTTATTGCTGATAAGAGGACAATTTATAATTTAACTGAGAGTAGTAGTCAAATACAAGATATACATTATGTCTAGAAATAAGACGAAGGAAGCTGTATCTGTGGTTTCTTTCATCTCTAGTTTAAGATGATATATTTATGGGGCCCACTCCGAAGAGAAAGGATAGTTAGTCCCGTGGGATATCATCAGCTTAGTAGTCGATTCTTCGATATTTACTTGATCTTTAACATATTTCCTCAAATTTCCCTCTGATAAATTTGGAAATTATAACGAGAAACTAAGGTGTCAATCTCTTTAAGCATTTTTTTTAATTTACGAACAATGGATCGATAAAACGACTAGTTGACTGTTAGTCCTCGAAGTTATCATTAGCTCAGTCATCGGTAATTCGGAACTAATAATGTTTGACATTCTTTTACAATTTCTCGGTGATACGGTAAAAACCTAAGGTTCTAACACCCTTTGGGTAAAGACAAATAACAAAAATACCAAATCCGAGGACAATTCTAAGCGGAAAGTCCCTAAGGAAATGGCAAAATCAAAGGCTCAAACACATTAAACGAATGGATAACAACTGTCATATTACTGACTTGGTACAGGCATTTTCTTATATAGAAAATGGTGGATTAAACCTGGTTTTATAGCTAGCTAAACCTCTCGACTTGACAGTCGCATAAAGTTCCATTATATTGACAATGATGTGTGAACAAAATGAACAGAAAATGTATAAATGTATAAAGGTAAAAATGTATAAAAACATTGTGTGATAATCTGAATCACAATATAAACAAAGAAATATGTCAACAAAGAAAAACAAAAAGGCATGCAGACAAAGCACATTAACAAAAACAAAAGACCAGAATACAAAAATTTACAATAGCACAATAACACAATGACGGGATGAATAAATACGGGGCCACGTCAAATGGATATTACCAAAAATAGACTAAACAGTAAAAGTAATAATTTACCAAGACAAATAAAAGAATACTATAACACGTTATTAAGATGATAAACAACGTAAGTACCTAGAATCTTTACTTATACTGCACTCGTTCTATTAGAGCAGTCAAAATGCGTTGACTGTATATTTCTATGTCATATACAGTCACTGACCCGATATCACTTTTCCTCATGAATATTTAAATAGAAGTTGCCGGAACTACATTTAATTATTCATGACGACCTCTTCAACCTGTCCTTGTTTAGAATGTTTACAACGAAGCATGGAACGACTCAAACTTATTTCTTTTAAAATTGTTGGAAAAACACATTCCACTTGTTGATATTTTTTTGTTTAAAACCTTTAAATCATTATGTTTCATGCTTATTGTTGATATTTTAATCCATACTCAAACGAATTCGTTCACCGATTGGTTTCAACAGGTAGCATGTACATTTCATGGTGTTGTATATTTCTCCACCAGATATGAGGCCTTTTTAAAGGGGGATTTTCCCC